ATGATGTGTAGAGATGCTCRTCTTCACTCCATTCCTGGTCTATCAGGGAGAGTAAACAGGGGAGACTGAAGGAGGGAGTAGAATCTGTCAGGGGAGTAATGGCAGAGGGATGGGTAACAATAACAATAATTAACACTTCACATTATTGTTACTGTTTCTTRAAAGATCTTTCTCCAACATCTTCGTGCCAGATGCGGGTTTGTCTGGCTGGGGGAGCAGGCAGCCAGGCAAGGCYGCGCCAGGGGCTGCCCGTGGCGCGGGACCTGTGGCTGTTTCTCACTTTTCCAGGCCTCTGGGAAAGACCTGTGTATCTCTAAGAGATGTGGCAGAATGCAGAACTTTGGAAAAAGAGCTTGTTTCTCCCTTTTGTAGATTATGTCCCTTAGCTAATCCATGCAAAAAGAAAAACATTCCTCTTGTTTCAGCAGGTGTTTGCTGCCTGCCTCAGCAGCAGGCCTGGAACGCAGGGCCTAATGAAGGCCCCAAAGCTCATTACAGCGCTTTGTGCAGGGCAGCGCCGGTCACCGATTACTGCATAATCAGCAGGAGTGATTTCCAGGCTCAGTGTGAAATAATAACATTGCTTTACCAACACTGCCATTCTGCCTGGTATGTGTTTGTCTCAGCCATAGAGCAACAGTTTCCCTCATGAAGTTGCTGCAAGAATGTTAGTTTAAAAAGTTTAAAAAACTGTATGTTAGTCTAAAAAACTGTATGAAAAATACAATGGAATGAGAATAAGAATTGTCTTTAGGTAGTCATTTATTTAAAATGTATTTTTTTAAAAAGGAATATATGTCCCTTTTAGTTGCTATGTATTAGCAAACCACTACCTTTTTGTAGATGTTATTCCATGTTCTAATGATTAGGAAAGCAATTGCACAAATATGCAAATATGCACAATAGGTGCTTATTTCTGGGAAAAGGGAAGGCAAGGAAAATATTATCCTAAGGGTGTTGTACGTCCATGCAAACCAATGCCAGTGCTACTGGCTGTTATGAGTGAAGCTGTGAAGCTTCACACAGAGTAATGTGTAAAGCTTTGCACACACTAATGTGTCTGAGCTGGTGAATGACTAGCAGCTTTAGGTATCCCATTTCTGATCCTCTGGAAAAGACCTTCYCCTTCAAAAGAATGGAGCTGCCAGAGTGGAGCTGGAGTGGGAGAGCAAGATCAGTTTGATTAGTCAGGCACTTGGAGAAAGTGTCTTCCTTGAAAAGGAAGAACTCCTCTTTGTTGTCTGATCCCTGCCCATGGCTCTGGCATCAGGCTCCGCTCTTGGCATCCCTGCCAGTCTGTGAGTCCTGGGCCAGGTGCAGGCAGAGCCTTGCTGGGATGCAGCAGCTGGGCAGCATGTGCTCCTGAATAGGTCTCTCATGCAAAAGGCTTTCTAAAAAGCCACTGCTCCTGACCTACAAAATAGGGCCAAAGCTCTGCCGTGCTGTGACCGTCGTGTCAAGTGTGCCTGCCTGTCCAGCAGTGGATGTGCCCTTTCTGCTTGGGGAGCGTGGTAATTGAGAGGTCTGACTGCACGGCAAGCAAGGTAAATAGTTCACGCACATCCAGCTTTAGGTGTAGTTGGATTGGGGCTTAGGATATACTCTGTCAACACTCACCCTTCTCCCCAAATTCATTCATTTCTATGATAGTTTTATTGTTGTGATTGTTCATAGACTCTTAAATAGTGCTGCTCTCTTGCAGGGTGTATGAGAACCAAGATGTACAGCTTCTGGTAGTAAAATGGAGCATGATTCCTGCGTGGAGTGACCTGTGGGTGTGCTGCTCTGCTGCTCACCTGGCTTGTCCCTCAAAGGCACCTTGGTGCAGAGCCCACCCTGCTGCCCTTGCATATGAAGCTACAGTGAAACAGAGCCTCAAGCCTTCTTTCAATGCAGCATGAAACCAAAGCCAATGTTTGTTAGCTGAACAGTTGTGTATGAAATGAGATACTTAAAATTTACTCTTATTTTAGCAGCAAACTGTCTGGGTACGGTGGTGAAAGAAGGTTTTCTCCACAATTTAGTTAATGCTTGTTAACCATTTTAAATTTGCAGAAAATAATGTGTATTTTACTGTCTTTCCTAGAAATGATTAGATTCGGGTTTATTAGTGGTTGCGTTCAATATGTGATAGAGTGGTTAGGATCTTGGTGGAGTTTTTTTTTGTTTGTTTTGTTATGTTTTCTTCCTACAGGAGACAATTCCTTTTAATGCTAATGAAAACTAACAAATCCCTGAAGTGGGATAACAAAGGCCAGTATTAATTAATGCTCTTTCTTGGCAATGTAGTGATTTCTAGGCTGGAGACCAAGAAGTAGTTTGGTTTTTTTTTTYCCCCCTAATTTCAGGGGCACATTGTCAGCTTTCACAAAGGAGAGCAAGTATGTCACTGAACATTTGAGTTTGGTTTTTGCAGTTTAAGTTCTGATTAGTACATTCTGGATTTGCAATAATAAGCAGGTTTGAACTTCACTCCTCTGAACAAGTTGGGATCTTACCCTTTTATGGTTCCYGGAGATCAAGGGAAAACCTGCAGAGAGTTTTTAGTGGCATAATCTTGTTGGCAGCACCCATTTGTCTGTCAGCATAATATTCCCACTGGCTCTTGTTCTGAAAACTGTAGTTGATCTGTCATAATCCTTTCAAAATTCATCCATCCAAGGCTATTAGCAAGTACTTTGTTTTTTCAAATGTACAAGAGGCAGTCTGAGTATGTGCATATTCCTCAAGAATCCACATAAATTTCAGCCCAAAATGAGACAGTAGCTTAGCAAAGCATACAGAATCTGTACCTAATAGGTGACTTTTCTGACGGTTCATATGTCTACTTATGTATTTGCACTGGATTATAATCAAGCTTTGGTTAAGAAGATTAAAGAGACAAAAGCAGTGAAACTTCAAAGGCTGACCAAACGGGATTTGTGAGTTTTTATTTCCCCTGAGCTTGGTGCCTGCCTTTAGCCATCTCTCATTAGCCCTGCAAAATGAGCCGGTGGAGCAGAATGCAGGGTCCAGCTGCAGCGGCTMCGGTCCGGATGGAGTTTTTGGGTGCAGATGTGTAATGCTTTTTTTTTTCAGTGTAGCAATAGATAGTAGAGCTCCTGTTCCAGGGTTTTTAATAATGAATGCACAGCTGAGAGCTCAGCTTTAGCGCAGAGCTCGTTGGAAACAGCAAAATGCAAAAGCTTCCTTCTAAACACAGATGTTAAGCGTGTGACTTAATCCAGTGTTTAATTAACTGTTTCTACATGAAGCACATCAAGTAACAAGGAAAGGACTGGTTTTGACAGGCTACAAGAAATAAGGTAAAGCAATGCTCGATGAAATGGTGTAAAAATGCAAGTTTTGTTACATCTACTTTGCATTTTGCAGTATTCTCTACAGAATAGTTAAATGCTTCTGTGTATCATCTGTTACCAGTTAGATTTTGAAGAATGTTTCCTGTGCAGTGGAATTGATTTGGGCATTTGTGTGACTCAGTCAAGAAGCTAGTACTGATCACATAGAAGAAGAAAACTTCATTTAACCAAAACTAGGAAGATATTTAAAAAGGCAAAAAAAAAAAAAAAAAAAAGGATAAATGATAAAACCTCTATAATAGGATCCCCTTAAGCTTCTTTTATGACCATAAGGGTCATAAACTAGTGTGATTTTTATGAGCATGTGGAACAGGTAGCATTGGACAACATTCTAACTCATTTGTAAATTTGGACACCATGTGTGATTTTGGAYTTAATCAAAAAACAAAACAATTGCAGTTCTTGTGAAACATATTTTTTTTTAGCTGTTAAATATTTTCAGGTACCAGAATATAGGTGGATCAATTTGGAAAAGTGTTTGCTGTAACCACCCTGCATGGACACCTCGTGGCGTGCTCTGACTTGGGGGTTTTACCTCTGTGAATTCTGTTTACTTCTGTAGTGTTTTACTCTCCTGCTCTCTGTAGCAGTATGAGATACATTCCTGAACAGCAGCTTTCAAACTGAAATGAGGTGGTTCTGATCTGCTAAATTTGTAACGGTATCAGAGCGGAGACCAGGAGCATGGAGAATTGTGTGGAACTCTGGGCTCCCCAGTAAAAGAGGATAGGACGACTGGAGAGAGTCCAGTGCAGGGCTACGAGGATGATCAGGGGCCTGGAACATCTGCCCTGTGGGAAAAGGCTGAGAGAGCTGGGCCTATTCAGCCTGAAGGAGAGAAGGCTGAGGGGACCCRATCAGTGCTTGTAAATACCCTAAGGGAGGGAATGAGGAGAATGGGGCCTCTTTTCAGCAGTGGCCAGTGATAGAACTAGAGGAAACAGCCACAAACCAAAGCACCAGAAGTTCCACGAGAACTTAAGGAAACACYTCTTGACAGTGAGGGTGACAGAGCCCTGGAACAGGCTGCCAACAGAGGTTGTGCACCCTMCTTCGCTGRAGATCTTCAAAACGCACTTGGACGCAATCCTGTGCAACGTACTCTATGTGACCCGGCGTGTGCAGGGATTTGGACTAGATGATCTCTAGAGGTCCCTTCCAACCTTAACGATTCTGTGAGATCTTCTAGATTGACCAGCAAGGCATTCAGTTCAGTGGCACCCAAAAGGGACAAGCTTTGACTGAGATGGGTTAGAGACTGTTCTTTGTGAAGTGGACGCAGTCCTCRAGCAAGATGCCTTTGGGTTGCAACTGAATAGCCATGAGGGAGCCTCAGGCTGKTTTTCAGGTTCTTTGAGTCCATTTACTGTTTACTGAAATAAGAATAAGCAACTAGGCCTTTTGGTACAGCTTTGTGTAAAAATTGTGACTTCAAGACTAGTGTTTTTGTGCCTGAGGATGTTTAGACATGCTCAAGGGTAATTCATGTCACCTACTTGCTTTGGGAGTAGATGTATCTGGTACTTAAAGGCGATTTACTGAAGTGGATGCTTGCATTTAAAAACAACTGAAAGCAGGAGACCAGTTTTGCTGTATCTGTAATACAGAAAGTATTTCAATATATTTTTTCTCTCTTTTAAGGGTCAGAAGGCTTGGATAGAGAAGACCTTTTCAAAAAGAGAATGCATCTATGTGATTGCTAACAACAAAGACACTGGCAGGTAACATTTGAAACATTTTGATTATGCAACAGAAAAGGTAAATTCTGAAGAAATTGGTGTTGATTTGGGATTAGATGGGTCAAACTGTGASCCAGACTTACTGCTTGTCATTAAGGGGAGTTGACAGGGAATAAAAACAAGACATGTCTGGATCCCAGTCTATACACAGCTGTGGGACGTGTCGTGCAGAGATAAGGCTGAGCAGTGGGAGTAAATGGTTAGTTCCCAGCTTTGCAAATCGCTATTTATGTTCACAGAGAATCCTGAAAGCAAGGAAGGAATAATATATGAAGCAAATGATACCATTCCTCAACATTTGGGATGTGTGACGTTAGCAGTAACCACACCAGGCAGGAGGACTGGAATTCTCTGTCCAGATATTAATGTTATTGTACTGTATGGGCTAGCTAAATTGTGATCTCACTTGCTTGGATGACGTAAGTTTGTCACACGTTGGTTGTCATCTCTGAGTAAGAAGCAATACCTATTGCTCCTGCTCCACCTTCCTCCTCCTTCCCCTGTTCTTCAGCCTAGAAATACTCTCCAGATTATTATGAAATTTTTGATGTGTGGGCAAACCCAACAGACAGGACACCTAGGAGAGGTATTTCTGTGATTCACGTGGGGCAATGCATAGACGGTTGAAAATCTGAACATGTAGATTTCTGATTTATGTCTTGTTTTTAATCATCATTAGATATTGAACATACTGTGTGCACAGTCACTTCACCTTTTAACTTTCAGGTGCTGTTGTGGCCAGCTTATTAACCAACATATTCCACCTCCTCCAAGTGTAACTCATAAAAATGGTGAAGAAACAAAGCAAGTGGAAGCTCAGCCAGAAAAATGGTCTGTCAGTAAGCACACCCAAACATACCCAACTGATGCCTATGGAAACCTTGAATTCCAAGGAGGGGGACATTCAAATAAGGCCATGGTAAGGAGTATAGGCGATGCTAACATATTAATCTGGTGTGCTAGGTTAGCAGATATGTGTCAAGATTCCATCTTGCTTAATGCATAATGCATTGAAATCAAAGTGGGTCTTTTTACCATCCTAGAAAGGTGTGGACAAGATGCTGAGAGAGAGAGGGAGGAATAATACCAGCTTAGGAGACGCTTACAGTGGCCACAGGTTCATTTCAGTTAGTGTCTGTTAACCCCCCTTTCTCCTCTGCCCCCCTTCGGAAGGGATCCAGAGCTGGCTTTGTTTCTTTGCCAATAAATCTGCAAACACTTGTCCGAAGTTTGTGGAAATGGTGGTGGGTTTTATTTGTGTGTGTGTGGTTGTGTGCTTTTTTTTTTTTTTTTTTTTTTTTTTTTTTTTTAAATTGGTGGTCACTGAAATAGAAATAGGTATATCTACTAGACTTGTTTTATAAAGTCCATTGCTTTAACAGAAGTCTTGATAACAAAGAAAAAAAATAGGAAGAATCAAAACGATTATTTTGGAGGCAGAAAAAATGAACATTAACAGCAATTAGATTGTTATATCTCTTTAGCAGTCAAATCAAGGTTTTAGGAACCATACAGAACACCTCTCTGTCCTTTTAAATAAGTAGTTCCTAGCAGCACAGATATGTAATAAGTGCTTCAGTTCACAGTCTGTTCTGAAGGTGACAGGAGGCAAGTTGTGTTTTAAAACACAGCTTATCCATAAYGTGAGTGACAAATTCTCAGTAGCGAAGTAAAAGGTTTCAGTCTGTTTCTTCTAATTGTAGGCAGTAAAGGCACATTATAATTGCAAAACTCTTCCTTTAATATGGAATGTTAAATATGACCATTCAGTGTTCAATAAATGGGCAATTTACAGGAAAGATGAAGTGCTAATATTACACGTAATTTTGTAGTATATCCGTGTGTCATATGACACCAAGCCAGATTCTCTGCTGCACCTGATGGTGAAAGACTGGCAACTGGAACTTCCCAAACTTTTAATCTCTGTCCACGGAGGCCTCCAGAACTTCGAACTGCAACCTAAGTTAAAGCAAGTATTTGGAAAAGGCCTAATCAAGGCTGCCATGACCACTGGAGCCTGGATTTTCACTGGAGGCGTCAGTACAGGTAAGTAATAACGGGCTCTTGTAGTTTGCCTAGGAATTCAGTGGTTAGCATTCGTTCACTCACATTAATCGCAGACAGGCTACGTGACTGAGTCATGAACCAATAGCTAATGATTAATAAGACACCATTAGATGGTACCGAGTGCACTGTAACTGGGTAAGTCTTTCTAAGTGAATTGAGAAGCACATGAAATGGCAGTAAGATTTATATGCAGTTACTACAAAATGTAAGTATATGTTTGTATGCCTTGAGTAATAATGTTGTAAAATGATAACAACGTAGAAAACCAGAGAGCGCAGTGAAAGGCTGGAAGAAAATTAGCTGTTCAATCGTATTTCAAAAGCACCAAGAATTAATTTAAATTAACTGTACCTATAGGTGTCATTCGGCATGTGGGAGATGCCTTGAAAGACCATTCTTCCAAATCCAGAGGACGAATTTGTGCCATAGGAATTGCACCGTGGGGCATTGTAGAGAACAAAGAAGATCTGATAGGAAAAGATGTAAGTCTTTAAGGAAACTCTTGTGTAATTAGTAATACCAGCTGTAGAATTAATATTTTCACAGTGTCCAAATAAGAGCTGAAATTGAACAATTTATTGAGGAAAAACTATGATTCAAATGTATGAGCATGCCCTCAATTGCCAAAAAATAAATATAGAACTATTGAGATTTCCATTAGCTTGAATGGTAGGGACTTTTCTGTGGTAAACAAAACTTTTATGTCCTAACTTGACTGTGGTATGCTGAGAGTTTTATAAATGTTGTGTCTTTCTATGGGAGCATGCAGGAGAGTGTAGGAATATGACTGTCATTCTCTAATGAKAAGACAGTGCTGTGAAGTGCTCATTTTGAACATGAAGGCAAGCTCCATTTCTGCTCTTCTCTGATGTTTTTGGTTGTAAAAGCCTGGTTGGTTTCTACTCATAATGCATGTGCTTATATTGAGAGTTGTGGAGATTTTCACATGACTTGCTCCCAGGTCTAATCTAGGTGTATTTATCCTTTTGACAGGTAACTCGGGTTTACCAAACAATGTCAAACCCTCTAAGTAAGCTCTCTGTGCTCAACAGTTCCCACACACACTTCATTCTGGCAGACAACGGTACGCTAGGTAAATATGGAGCTGAAGTGAAATTACGACGGCAGTTGGAAAAACACATTTCCCTCCAGAAAATTAACACACGTAAGTACAGTGGGATGAATTGTCAAACATAATGTGTTGAAGGAAGGGAGGGGAGAGGGGCTTGAAATAGCTATGAGATACTGAAAGCAGGGGCTTCTTCCAGGTACTTCTAGCAGGAATTTGATCAGGACTATGCGACTAAACATAAGCCCATCTGTTTAGTGATGCAAACGCTACATGGAAAATCAGAAAAATCAAGATCACAAAAAGGCAGGAAGAGAAGTTGCAGAAAAATAGTGAGGAGGAATAGTGAGAAGAAGGTTCCAAGCAGCAAGAGTTTAAGGAAATGAATGTGCAAAGAATTTGCTCACTTCTAGCTAGAATTTATAAGCATCAGTAAACACACAAGGTAGATGACATTTTGTACAGTTCCTCTTTACTAGAATCCTATGTAGCTCTATTTCTGTTTCCAAGTGCTTATACTAACATAGTCGTTTCTCTTTGATATGCATTTATTTCATTTTAAATATATTCAAACTTCTTCAATCCAGATAAATTCAAATCAATGTGATTAATRGAGCAATTATCAAAATGATTTCACATGATTTCATATTTTGAATTTTGTGCACTTTCACAATTTCTGCCAGTCATTACAGCCTTCCTAAAACAGCTTTCTAGGGCAGTCTTAATGATTCTTTTGAGTATATTCTGTATGTGAAAGACCTTTTCTTTTTCTTTTTTTTATAAAGCTTTCTTGCAAACATAGATTTTTAGAAGTTTAAAAGATAAGCATTCTGTAAAGCCTTTGAGTGTTGTGTCTACCAGGAAGCTTAAGAAGTTGTCTTGAGGCACCAGAGACCAGCCTGTGCATTATGGCTCCTCCTCATCAGGGCTGGTATATATTGACAGGAGAATGTTAGGTAGCTTCTGCTGTTCACTGTGCCCCTGTTCTTCAGAGAGGAGGGAAGTTTGAAGCTATGAAATATGCTTATATATATGAAATATAAGGCTGACTATTCCCACTAACAGAAGCACTTGAATCAAGTTTTCAAATGACCAGTGTTTCATAAAGACGACACACTTTTTGCATATGGTTGATAGAATGGAAGTCAGCCTTTGGGTAATGTTTTGTCCTTCATTTCACCAAGTGATCTTGTGACCAAGGCTCCTGGGACTGTGTGACCTGYGGGCTTCCCTTTGTCATCCTATGCCTGGAGATCACAGTGAGGCAGGGACAGCAAAGGGATGCTCAGCTGTCGTCTCTTCCATCGACCAGCCGTTCAGCATCACCATAAGGAGAGCACATTCCCAATGCAGGAGGCAGCATAGGTGCATATCATCTTACTGAAGATTTCTCGTAGGTGACCAATGAAGAACTGCAATATCAAAGAGACAGTAGCTGGGAACTATTTGAGTAACACTGAAGTTAATGAAGCTAATGAATGGTAGAATTATATTAGCAAGCTTATGACATGATACATTGAAAGAGACTGCAAACAGTTTACCACTGAATGAATAAACAGGATGGAGCAGGTGTGAAAACCAGGGCAGAGAAATCTCTTACTTTCTTTTCCTTCGGARGGCTGTCAGACATCATACAGGTGCCTTTCCTGAGCTGGTTGAGAAACTGTCACCACTTTTTCYGTGTTTTCATTCTGTTTTGGTTTGAAGTAATGTTATAACACATCCAAATCACGTCCATACATAGCATGTCAATTTCTTAAACAAAGATTCAATGACATTTCCTTTTGTTTCCATTCTTTGTTCTTGTTTTGTTTGTTTGTTTTTACAGGGCTAGGACAAGGTGTCCCTGTAGTTGGGCTCATAGTGGAAGGGGGTCCTAACGTGATCTCCATTGTCTTAGAGTGTCTGCGAGAAGAACCTCCTCTTCCTGTCGTGATTTGTGATGGTAGTGGACGAGCATCTGATATTCTGTCATTTGCACACAAGTACTCAGAAGAAGGGGGGTAAGGTTTTGAGATGATCACTAAGGCTGTGTCTTAGGGAATGGTGGGGCAGTGTGCAACCTCATGCCTTGCACTTGTCAAAACTTTATAAAAACAAACTAAGGGGAAAAAATTCTACTAACAGATGTCAGTCAACTTTTGTGTGTTGGGTACTGGATGCAAAGATTTTGGTTCTTTTTAAGTATTTATTTATTTATTTTCTTAAGCAGCAGGCCTTTGCAAAATACGTTGATCCCATCTATATCTTCTTTTATGTCTTCTTTTTCTTTAGGATAATAAGTGAATCCCTCAGGGACCAGCTTCTAGTGACCATTCAGAAAACTTTCAATTACAGCAGGAACCAAGCCCATCAGCTGTTCATGATTCTTATGGAGTGCATGAAAAAAAAGGAACTTGTAAGTATCCTAGAATTGGTTAATACAGATCATTTCTCTGAGGAAACTTCATATCCTGCTTTCAAAAGTGTTGCTGTTGAACCTTTTTCATGTAGCTCAACAAATTCACACAATCATTCATTTATAGGCATAGACTTAGTTTTTTTTTCTGTTATAGAAAGCCCCTAAATTTAATTTCAAATTCTTTTCATGTGTAAGCTGATGGGAGCTTTTTCCATGGACTTATGCAAGGCAAAAATACTGAAGCAGAGACATTAAGAACAGGATCCAAATGCAAAAGGTAGAGGAAAGGTAATTGAAGAAAGGCTTCTTAGGAACATGGGCAGCACAGTTGCATTGGCCCAGTTCTTGTTTTCTGATGTCATTACTGTTTAACATTGTTTTTATTCCAATAAAATCAACTGTTCAAATCCCTCAAAAGAAACTGAAATGTGAAGTGTTCTTGAAGAACCTGGCACTGCATGATCCTGGCTTTTCTCAGTCCTGTTTTATGTTCTGTACCACTCAGTCATGCTCCCACCTGTCTTCCATATTCCAAAGTGCACTGGAAAAACTATTTAGAGAGTGTGTTTACTGGAGCTGTACCTGGGCTGTTACAGGCAAAATAAATCTTTGTTTGTTTTCATTTGACAAGCGCTGATGAGTTTTGGTCAGTATGAGCTCTTGCCTGAGTCCTAGTAAAATCCTGTTTCTTTCTGTACAAATCTCAAGCTACTGTATTATACACACATGAATATTATAATGTATTTATTTTGGTTTCAGAGGGAGTTATTTAATTACACCTTCAATTGGTACAGCTGGTGCTTATATCTTTATTTGCTGAAATTACATATTTCTGTAGATAATAACAGGAGGCAACTACCATTGATTTCTCAAACCACCTGGAGGGTGCGAGATAACCAACCTGCTACAGAATTTAGTCATGAAATGTCGGGCAGTTTTGTTCTCTGATGCCTAATTCTGTAATCAATGAGGTGACACCTAAATATGAGCAGCAGTAAGGAAACTATTGGAAATATAGATGAAAATTTTCTTATGAAACTGAGAAAATATGGATTTTTTTTAGCTTCTTAGGAAATTGATGTTCTGTGCTCCCTTGAAACCAAGCATGTTTTCTTTACACAGGAGCCGCACTTTATTTCTCCAGTCATCTTAGCAAATGCAAATCCCAAAACTCTGATCTTTGCAAATTACTATCCCCAAAAGAGAATGTGCAAGTTTTTCATTAAAATGTTAAATAAATCAGTAATTTGAATGCAACATTCCCTGGGGTGTATGTCCATTCTCTTCAACTCTTTTGATTGCTAGAAGTAGCTGTTTAGTTGTGCACTGGCACAAGGTAAGCCTGTACTTCATCATAACCTGCTATTGTTTCAGAGAAACACTAGGAAAAAACATAGAAATCTTTTCCCTGGAGTGTTTGCTTTGTACTGACCAAGAGAATACTATTCTTGGTATTTGCCAGTGTCTGCATTTCCAGTTTCAGGCTTGGAGCAAAAAAATGAATGCAGTTTAACTCTTACTGCTCTATTTTACTTCAGAGTTGGTTCATTGAGCTAGCCTGATCATGAGGGCAGGTGTATTGTTATATGAAAAGGGAAGCAGCTGCTATTTGTTACTTTTGTAAATGACATTCATTCTTCAGTAAATTTTTGTGCAACTAAGATATGCATCAAAGTCTAAAATTTGGTCCAGTTAACAAATAGAGCTGACAAAGTTAATAGTCCTAGTATTTTGCACATACATATTTCTGTTCACGTCTCATGTGGTTTCATAGTGACTTGGTATCAGTAAGGAATAAAGGATTAGCTCCATGGAAATGTCACTTGGTCTCCAGTTAGAATAATAGAGTGTAGAGCTGAACTTGGCAGCATGGAATTGATGAGAAGGGAAAGGAACTGCATATCTGTACATGAAGTTTTGTGCTAGTACATTTTTAATGTAAGCTGCTTCCTTTCAAGGACCGGATGAGCAAACATGGTCAGTGGCTCTAGGCATTAATCACCACAGCATCTGTCAGCCCCTTTGAGGAAGAGTCCTGTGACACTTGAAATGATCTAGGATCGGGATGGAAATCTGTGTCACCCTTTCACTAGGATATTGGTGGACATGTACCATGCTCTCCAAAAAGCTGGTCTTTTGCCAGAGCTTATGCTGCGTCTAGCTCATGCCTTCTACTTTCTAATGTTTATTTTAGCTGCTCAGGAAGTGCTTGCTTACATATTGGTATGTTTCAAGATGAGAATTAAATACCTGAATGCTAAAGGATAATTTCCTGTTTCCTGTTTAGCATAATAGCAATCTCCTCTTCCTAATCGTGTCTCCCTTCCTCCCCCACTTTATCCCAATACTTTACTTTCCAGGGTGTGAACACATCTGACACTAAATTCTCTTTTGATTTGGAGGGATTTCTGAAAGAGAAGCTGCCAATCAAGTTTTAACTCCATTCCTTGTTCAGCTTTTGATACTACTTAGTTCCTGGGTTCATAAAAGACAGATTATGCAATTTCTTTTTTTTTTTTTTTGCAATATATATTTAATTGCATCAAAACTAAATTCTCTAAGGATTAGTCCAGCTGTGAATGCCACAAAATGGTGGTAAAAATGCTGTATTTTATTGCACTGCAGCTCAGTAGTGCAATCAAATAGACACACATCTGTGTTCTTTTTTTTCTTTTCTCACACATGCAGAAGTGTGATTCACATGCCAAGATAATTACATGAAGCTGTACTGAATGACTCTAAAGTCTATAGATTGACTGGCTATTTTAAACATACTGCTGATATATTTACATTTTTATGGTGCCAAAATCAGGTCCATGCTGATGTATATGCCTTCATCAGAGGTCATAAGAGAGTGTGTGATACTGAGTGTAAGAGAATCAGCCTTCCGAGAGGGATTGATTGAGTGCAGACAGCTGCCTTAGTCAAATGGTTTCAAATTTAAAATGCTTATGACAGGACACAGGATTTTCTCAGTAAAATCCAGACACCAGAGTCTAACCAGTAGTGGCTCAAGTTGTCAGGTAAGACTGTCCAAATAGCCAGGCTTATGATTTGCATTCGTTAATCATTTTGTCTTCTTTCTTATAAATGGATATAGTTTTTTTCTTAAGTTCTTTTCTTTGCTAAAGTAATAGTGGAAAACAATTATCTTTGCCTGCATGCAGAATCCTTTTTAAACTTTTGGGAAATTTGCCATTCTCAGTTCTAATTCTAGCTACTGCTGTGAATAAATTATTTCAAAAGATAAAGATTTTTTTTTTCTGTACTCAGTACTAATTTAATTAACAGAGGGTATTAGGTTAATATGCTTCTGAGTCATTCATCTTTAATGTGGAGTGAGCTAAGTATGACTAAACTTCACATACGTTTCTGCTTTTAAAGATAGTGATTTGTAAGGGAATGAACTAAGCAAATGTGATTAGAAATAATCACTTTATTAATAGTTTCTGATATTTTGCTTCCTAGTGTATAAGACACCACATAACTTAAAAATGTGTTGATAATCAATAAAATTAATACTATGAGAATTACCTTGAGTAACTGGCATTTCGCTTTCTAAATTGTTATTTCCCTTTACCTCCAGAAAGTAATAGAACAGTTGGAAAATGATCAATTTGGCCACCTTAGCTCCATGTGTGAAAACTTACTGAAGAATTTAATCAACTTGGTCACCTACTACTGCAGGATTTTTTTAGGATAACTTTATTATTAAATGGTTTGTTCAATGTTTTTCTGAAATTTCAAAGATAAATTTAGGAAAACCATAGAACTTGAAAAATTTCAAGCCCTATCAGGCTTTACTGCTCTGCTCTTTTTGCTGTCTGTGTGCTTAGTCTCTCTTTTATGTGTTTAATTCTGTGTGTTTGTTTTTATGTTCTTCTCTAGATCACTGTATTTCGTATGGGATCTGAAGGGCAACAGGACATTGAGATGTCTATCTTAACTGCTCTTCTCAAAGGTGAGTTTTAAAAGCAGTTCGGAAGGAAGCACAGACTAACCTCAGTAAGACAGTCCTCTTTAAATGAGGTTGATTCTTAATATTATAGCCTTTTTTTTTGTTTTTTGTTTTTTTGTTTTTTTATATCTAAACAACCTGAAAATGCTTGGTTAAAGAGTCAGGTTAAGTTTGATCAAAGGTAAGTCAAAAACTGAAAACAGATCAAAATGTAAAGTCTAGATTTAAATTTTTGTGTGGCCTTCCTCCTCTGAAACCGTGGGATGGGAATATTGCAGCAGCTATAAGCTTGGTATTTTGACATATTTTATTGCAGCTCTGGCACATATTAGTAAAGTTAGAGGAAATTATGTGAAGATTAAAAGAGTAACTGCAGGTTTTTGTTCTTTTTTGACCTCCAGTAGAACTTCAGGGGAAAAATTCAGGACCAATGGATCAGATTTTTTTGTTTTGTTTTTAGTTTTGTGCTGTTTGCTTAAACAGCATCTTTGTTCAGCTTTTAGTAATAAATACAGACTCAATATGAAGATACTGGAGACCTTAATGCTGAGTAAATAGAGGAATTACTGTATTCACGTCTGCAGGATCATCCAGAGAAGCTAAGGAATCTTTTGGAAGAAAGGTTTAATGTCTGCCTTTAGCCATGGAATGTAAAGTCAGTGTGGGAGCTTTTAGYGAAGTAGGGAGAGAATCTGGAGAATCCTTTTTGAAATTACAAGTATAGGGTCAAATGGAAGATAGATTTGATTTGATGAATTTGCTGCTTTGTAATAGAATTATGATAATAGGCTATGGATATACAGGCTTGCTGTTTTCTAATTTTTGGAGTTAGTAAATTGCGAAGATTGTTTCATCATGCATAAAACACCAAATAACTATGGATTTCTTTGTTGTACTCTTCCTCTTTAGGTACCAATGCATCTGCACCAGATCAGCTAAGCTTGGCTTTGGCTTGGAATCGCGTAGATATTGCACGCAGCCAAATCTTTGTCTTCGGACATCACTGGCCAGTAAGACAGGATTTCCTAGTGATATTATTTGGAAATAATTTAAAATAAGCAGTCAAATATTCACTTCTTGGATTTTCTTATTAGCAGAAACAGTATTGCATTTTGTTTTGTCACAGCCTCGTGTAGGATATTTCATGAATATTAGGTTAAATAATTACAGTTTATTAAAGATAACCTGTTTGTTTTGAAATTTGCTCAGATTTCTGTTTACAAAAGAATTAGCAATGATTTAAAYTCTCCGTGCTTTAGAAAAGCAATTTCGTGACAAGCAGAAAAATAACCCYGTTAAATAATCCTCATGAGATTTGGAAGCAGGAAATGCATTTATTGGAAATAATCTCTGACCTCACATTCTGCTGGAKAAGAGCAGCCCTGGTCACCCCCAGTGAGCTGTGTGATCCACTAACATTTTCTTGACTTGTGATGCACCGTGTGCACTTAGTGCTTTCGGTTGACACTCTCCCTAGCTACCTATTAAGGTACGCAGCCAGGCTGAGATTCACAGCAGAGCTCTGAAGGATTTGAGTGCCTCACTTCATTTCAGCTGTGAAAAATCTTGATTTGGATTAATGAGGGAAAATCCTGATGACCAAAAGCAACCATTGCTGAAAATAGGCATCCAGCAGGGAGGGCTGTGTCAAATGAACGAAGAAAGGAATGTACAATAGAACTTTAGGTATTGAAATGGGATATTCTCTCTGAAATTATTAATTTGATGCTGCACTACTTAAAATCAGCAGTGAAATGCGGTAACTACAGTACTTTTGTTCATTTACATTAGCTAAAATACCCCTTTAAACCACTTCTTGGCTCACTGAGTTGATGGGTTGTGCTTTACTGCATGAGCCAGTGTCATAAGAAAACTAGACTGCAAGAGATTCTAAGAATGAGGTACAAGGATTTTTTTCTTTTTTAATTCTGACTTCCTGAAACTATAAAATAAAATGGTACTCAGTAGAATACTATTCATGTACCTGCTATATGTAAAATGTAGAGCTTATTTCCACTAGAAACCTGTATAATTTAAAGTCAACAAATGCTGCTGCGAATGCAGCATTCCTTCACTTGGAGTAATAAGTTTCCAATATTCAGAGTCCATTAAAATGCTTATAAAGAGTATTTAACAATCTTAAATAATATAAAGTATTACTATTACCAAACATTTCGTTGGAAATGTTCCATTCTCCATATTATTATGAGTAAATTCAGAGCACCGATTGGCAACTGAAGCCAATTATTGCTTTAAAGCAGTGGTATATCTTGGTCCATGGAAAGTTATTTACAGTTATGGAGGTGATCATCCTAAGCAGACTGCAAGCAATGGTCATTGGGGAGTGAGTTCAATATGAGGGTATTCAATAAAAGTTTGTATAATCAGCTAGATTTCTAATATTAGTGCATTGTTGAATATAGCCCATAGGAAGCCTTACAGCTACTGATGGTACAGCCCCTGAGAAGGAAAAGAAGTCCCCAGCACCTCAGACTAAAGCAGCCAGAGGGAAAGGAAAAGGGAAGAAAAAGGGAGGAAAAGCAAAAGAAGAACCAGAAGAAGAGACAGATCCAAGAAAACTTGAGCTTCTGAACTGGGTGAGATGAAAATATTTGTATTGTAACTATTTAGGACTTCTTTGAACATTTTTTACTTTTTTTCTCCATAGCTTTCTATCTATTTACAGAGGTGAGATTTAGCCTTAAAGCAATTTAAGAAACTGAAATATCTGAACACTATTTGTTCCTAAAAATCCTACACAATGAGCCAAAGGGCATTATGTCTGCCATGACATGAACTTAAGATATGAGCTGGGTTATTCCTGGGTACTCAAATTATGTTTCCTGGTCAGAGACATTTTGTGTTTTTTAAAGACATCATGATAGGAATGTGAAAAGTGTGGCATCAGTTTTATAATTATTTTTAATCAGAATTCACTTATTTTTTCCAGACTCTTGCTTTTATTCCACTTGACAAATTTTATTTTTTGAGTAGGAGTGAACTATTTTCTTCCACGGAGTCCAAGTGGCTAAACCAGCATGGGAAACAAAAAGAGAGGGGAAAATACACATTTCCATTCTGCAAAAAACATCCTTGCACATATCCATTCTGCAAAAAACATCCTTGCACATATCTATAGCCTCAGCAGTAAAAATCTACATAGCAGTTCTGGTGCTCTTCAGCCTTTGAGACAGGAAACCCTACCTAGTCCTGGTGTTTCTTCAAAGATGACTTCAGTCTTGCAGCATTACATTTTGCTGTTTCTCCTTTAGGCATCAATTTGAGTAGCTGATACATATCAGGGTAAATTATGTGAATTTACTTTCAAATTTTACACTTTTTCTTCATTTTAACTTGCTTCTATCATGTTGAGCAAGTCAATCTCTTCTCATAATACATGAAGAATGGTGTGACTGGCTTAGTTATAAATTACTAAATGAAATAACTGAAAGCAAAGCCGCAGTCAATGTTCTCTACCAGTACTTCATCTGCCATCTGTAGACTACACCAGGCAATACCATCTGCACATGAGTGAAACATCAATACCTGAGTTGGTTTTCACTTGTAGATAAATGCATATTTGAGAATTTAGGAATTTCCTAAGTAATAGAAATGCGTAGGGCTGGCCAGGCACTTCTCTGTTTGCCTATTCTTCTCTCTCCCTTTTGTGCAATTCAGGTGAATTCCCTGGAGCAAGCTATGCTGGATGCCCTCGTTCTAGATCGAGTCGACTTTGTGAAGCTTCTCATTGAGAATGGAGTGAACATGCAGCACTTCCTTACTATCCCTCGACTGGAAGAACTTTATAATACTGTGAGTGAGCAGAAACAATGAAAGAATATCCTGCAGAAAGAATTTCCTGCAGTATCTATTACAATTGTATAGAACAGGGATACMCTTTCTTCTTACAATGTATGCCACAAAAATGGTTTTTGAGCATCTGTAAGCCTTGACAGTACATAGAAGTTGAATAGTGGTAGAGCGACCATTGCTGTAACTCATAATGGCTTAATGAATGTACACTTTGCTAATGACTGAGTCTACAGCAACCTTCAGAAGCTGCTACGGYTTATAATGTAAATGCCATGATGTACTTAAAATGCAAAATAAGGACATTAAATCAGATAGTAAAATTTTAATACTAATGCTGAAGATTTACTTTTGATCTAAGTTACTTTTCTTTTATGTATACTTTAATATTATTGAAGTATGATTTTGGATTTAGAAAGTGTTTATAAAGCAACAACTTTTGCTGTAGCACATCGAAGTATTATTTTTCTTTGTGGCTCAGAGAAGCAAAAGGATTTTCCCAATACCATAGAAAAGCAGTGCGTTTTGGTTCAAGTTCTCCCCTACTCAAGCCTCAATGAATTCCTCTGGATTGTTTCTGCAATTTAAGTGGCAGTAGTCTAGGACAGTATTCATACAGAGTAAAAACAGCCTGTTTGTGAAAAAAATATTAAGAAATGAAGCTTTAATGATCAGTGAATAATTTTTGTTCCAGAGATTGGGTCCACCGAATACGCTGCATTTGCTAGTCAGAGATGTTAAAAAGGTAAGCCTAGCCAACAGCTGCATTGCATTTGCATGATTATGTTAATTGTATGAGTCAGCAATAAAAGCAAGCATAGCATGGAGGAAAGCAAACATTTGAAATTAGATGGTATCTGTGAAATTACTTCTTGTGGCAAACTGTGGTGTCAGTTTAACTGGGGTTTAACTGTATTGCATTGCTAGCAGTTTAAAAGCTAAGGAGAGGAAAGTTAAGCTGCTAGAAGTGTAATATGTAGTTCTAGATTTAGATACTGTTACTTTTCTACAAGTCCTCAACATAACAATACAAAGGAGAAATGAAAGGTAAGGCGTGTTAGGTTATCAGGATCCCCACTTGCCAGCATAGACATTTTTCCCTTTTGTTTGTTTCCTTGAATCTTCTTAGTCATTTTATCTTCCAAGCAATGCTACTTCTACTTGGGAGAAGATTCTATTTTTCATTGCTACAGCTCCTTAATGTATTGTTCATTTGTTTCCTTTATATGCAAATAAGCTCATTACATGTGAACAAGTTCCTCATAAGACTTGTTATATTTGCTCTGTTTAAACTCTGTGGCTTTTATTCAGTACAATTTAAACAGAACAATCTGTATTCCTTTTGCAAGGAAAACTCCCTTTTATTCCAGAAAGATTTAGTGTGGGAATTCTGCAGTGCTGTGTTCATGTACAGTTCATATTGATCTGTTATCTCATTCGGTGTGTTTGTCTTTTCCAGTGTCTCTAATGCTCTTCTGCATTCTTCTCTGTCTGCTTCTCTTGTCCTTTTCATTGCATTTTCATGGCTCATTCAGCGGCAGTCTCGGGGATTCGGTTTGGTTAACATGGAGGTGATGTTTGCTTAGGATGTAGTTGCTTCACTGTAGCTCCTGCTCAGCAGTGCTGTGGAATCAGTTTTTGTGGGCTGTAGTTTGAACAATGAAGCACAGTAGTCAGTTCCTGGCTCTCAAAGGGATAATGCAGCTCTCTAGTTTTTAATGATCTGACAGTGGAAGTTAGAAAATTTGCTTTTCCCCCTCATTTTTTGGTTGCCGATTGATTAACCCAAATCTTCTGTGTTGCAGTCTTGACTTTGTAGATAGTTATTCTGTTGAGATATAAGTTTCCATACAATGCAGGATGTGTGACTCATGATGAAGCTAAGCAGGACCAACTTTTGTACTGGCTTTATTGATGATTTGTAAGGTGTTGTTTAAATTCACAATTATATAAATTAAAAAATCTCTTTTAAGCATCTCTGTCTTGTATGGACACCAGAATATTGTTTGAGTAAATCATAAACTGAAAATTTGTCCTCATCTGTAAGCACTGCCAATAATTTAAAAAGGCCTAAAAATGTCCACGATATGAATTAGGCTATTTAATACAAATACTGGTATACTGAGACCATCAGCTATAATATTATCCAAATTCTAATGTAAGCATGATGTAGTATGTCTTGCCAGGCAATGTAGTGTATGTTACGTTTTCTTATCTTAAAGTCTTATTTTGTTTCCTTTGTTAGGGAAATCTTCCACCGGATTATCATATCAGCCTTATAGATATTGGTCTTGTACTTGAATATCTCATGGGTGGAGCTTATCGCTGCAACTATACCCGAAARAGCTTTCGGACTCTTTATAATAACTTATTTGGACCAAAGAGGGTAAGAAAAAACTGGAAGAGAGTTAATGCTTGATGTGACCATCAGGCTACTGATAAAAATAAGTAACCCTCTGCTCTGTTACTTCCTATTTGCGAAGCCCTGTGTGTCCAGGTCTAAAGAAATGGCATGAAAGTGAAATTGAAACTCTGGTAGTGTAGTCGTGTAAGAAACGTGTAAAACAACCTGTAGTACCTGATAGCCCAATGCATTTTAAATGATAAGAGGGTACAAAAGGTATTAAGTACATTGTTCTGGAAGTGAAATTTGTCCCATTTCAATAGCTTACAATCCAAGCATTTCTAACTCTGTTTGCATATTTGCATATTCCTACCTTAAGCTCTGGTTAGTACTGTAGTGCCCCTGTAAATTTTGTTGATCAGACCAGGCCAGTTGATCAATTAAGTATAACCAAAAATAGCCTTAACCTGGGTATCGCAAAGGGTTCAATTTGAATAAAGAGCTATGAACCTGATGCAGTGAGTCCCGTAAGGATCTACTATGAATGTAATCATATCCCACTGAGCCCCTGCAGTGTCAGTAAAGGTTTTCATAGCCATGACCCAGTCCTAAAATGGAGCACAGGGCGTGCTTTGGTTCAGTTCAGTTCTAGGCAAGTGGAGTGATTTTCTCTCATCACCTGCTTTTTCATCTAGTTCAACCTTGAAAGTGAAATGAAGCTCCATTGCTTCTTACCCGAATTAGAGAAGAGCAGTTATTTCAGATGATCAGAACTGCCAAAGCCCAAATAAACTATTCTCTAGCCAATATATAGTACATAAGTAGTGTTGTACAACCTGGTGGTGTTGCAAACATGCAAGAGATTTAATAATAAAGGGAATAGAATGTACAAAAAGTATCTTTAATTGGAAGTACTTTTTCCAGCTTTTTGTGATCATGCAATTATATTCATTCTTAAAATGATAAATGGCTGAATTAGTCATTTAACTCTTCCATCTGAATTAAATGATTTYACTTCAGGATGCAAAATGTTTTCTACCCCATTGCAAATACACTTAAGAGGTTGTTTAATGGTATGATTATTTAGAATAGTAAGTTTAGTAATAAATAACTCATGTAAARAAATTAAAATGTGTTATCTTTTGATTAATTTCCCATCTAATTAATTTCTTTTCCTGTTTTTAATATTCAGCCGAAAGCCCTTAAGCTGCTTGGGATGGAGGTAAGTTAGATTTATTGTAAGATACACTTTGTATTAGTATATTTATTGGTAAAGTTCTGCGCTTATTCTCAGTTTTTTCACTATTGTCTTAAAGTAAATTGCAGCTAGACAAGATCTTCCATTTTGTCAACAGCCTCTGAAATACCTTTTTTAATGAGTAAGGTCTTGAGAGCGGCTTAGAGCTTTGCTCTATAATCCTCGGTCAGGTTTTAGTACTATTATGCAATAACACATTCCATGTTGGAATATGTTAGAGATTTTAATCATTTAGATGTGAACACAGATGATGTTGAAGAGAGAATGTGATCCAGCTGTGCTATTTATGGTTAAAGTCCCCTCAATTGTAAAGCATCAGTTTATGCACATACAAAATTTTATCATAGAGAAACATTCAACTAGGGCAAAAAAAAAAAAAAATGTGGCATGTTAGATTCTATCTTTCCCGGTAAGACATCCTTACCAACAGTTATGGCACTGAGCTCTATAAATAAGAAACAGAGCTGAATGAGAATTTCAGGTCTAGACTTAGGTGTGTGTCTGCAGAAGTTTTAAATGAAATTACAGTACTCAGTGTTCAAGCTGGAATGATGCTTTATTTGAGGAAACCTCATCCTCTTCTGGAGGTGGTTGCTTTTATTCCTGAACAAGTGCATTAATATACCCGAGGAGAGCCTTTATGCAAAGGGGATGATAGGGATGTTTCACTATGAATTATGCTTTTATTAATGCTGTGGCAGTATTTGAACACATATATGTACCTGCTGCTTGTATTAAATTTGGTATATAGTACACCCACATACAAAAGCCTCTCTTAAGCAGTTAAGCAGCTTTCTGGTCTACAGAGAAAGTGTAAATCATGATTAATCTCCTGCATGATCAACTTCCTATTTTCTAATGGATCAAGGCCAAACGCTCTGCCTCTCTGAGGTGCAGCACTACTGAGCAATGTTGATCTCACATGGAYTACGTCATGTTTCTTCAGTAGCACTTTTTTTTTTCCTATATCATTCAGTGAGCAATATATTTGTGTGATACAAACTGGACTGTTCTTGCCACTTGTTGGTGGGTGTAGCCCCCTTCCAAGTAAAAGAAAAGGGGAAATGAAAAAAACTTTTTTTCCTTTAAGTTGTCAGTCATCTAGGATGACGTTTCCATCACACCCACTCACCCAGTACTTACAACTTTAGCACTGGTAGTTTAGGCTTCATAGCACTTTGTTTTTCTTACTCAGGGTTTTGATTTGATTTGATTTTTCTAGTGTGCAATTTTTGGTCCTCCTTTTGAAATTCCATACCCTTTGCTTTGAAGATGCCCAACAATTTCTTCATGAGCATGCTATTTATGACCAGTAAGTTTTCCATAAGAGACAAAAGTAGCCACTCGCAGTTCTCAGAACTGCTGGAAGAGAAATACAATCTTAATTGGTGAGTGAAGAGTTTTCTTTGGAACCTGGGGGTGTAGTGCTGAGCCCTGAGTTTGTGTTAAATTCATCTTGCTATATGCTGTCATGATATAGTGCATTATGCCATGCTTGCTTATGTGAACAGGAACTGGTTTCATAGAATAGCAACTGCTTTTACTTACAATACACCTCTGAGGCTGGAATCATACCTTACAACAATGAGCACTATCTACACCTATATATGCAATGTTCTTTCTATGTTTTTTAAACCCTAATTTTCCCAATCATGGCTTTTCTCCCTTCAGGATCCTGCTTCATTGTCCGTACTTCCCTTCAGTTACTTCCATGTCGGTTCCTGTAGTAATGGCCTATCCTCCCTATCCCTTTAAGAAATGGGATACTTATACCTTCCGTTTTCACTGCATACATAAGAGGAGATTGCTTATTCAAAGGTGAACACTGCCTTTAGTATCTTGCTGTTCTTAAGGACACTGCCTGCCTGCTTTTTTCCTTTGTACATTGATCAGTCTTTCCATCTGCATGTCAGTCTGAAAATTGCTTTGGTACCTGAGGTGTGCTGCACTGTTCTTCAGGAACAGATGCAAGTATATCAAATTAGAAGTTACAGTGGAACGTCTTTATAGGGAATTCAGGTTTGGTAAAGCTCCACTGACACTGCAGTAGAATTCATGAAACATTAATTCACTGCAATTTAGCTGGTGCAGTTATACATGCAGTAGAGAGATACTAACAGTACCATATAAAGTGATGGGGTATGATAGGATTCTACTGTACACATCCAGGATGAGTGACTTGTAATTAAGTATTCAATAAACAGCTCTGTTTAAAATATTAACCCAGCCCTGTGCTAAGCCAGTGCATGCTCTCTCCCATGTTATTTTTCATGGTATTGTCACTCTTGGCATCCATTGTAGCCAAAAGCAAAAGCAATTGAAAATTGTAACTGTAAATATGGTATCTTCTCAGTGCTTTTCTGTGCATGATGCAATGCACAGACTAGCCCTTGAAAACTGATGRAGAGAATTTTGCTTCTCTTCTCCTCAGGATGATGAGCCTCCCACCAAAGGGAAAAAGAAGAAGAAGAAGAAAAAGGAGGAAGAGATCGATATTGATGTGGATGACCCAGAAGTCAGCCGTTTTCAGTATCCATTTCATGAGCTCATGGTATGGGCCGTGCTCATGAAACGGCAAAAGATGGCACTCTTCCTTTGGCAGCGAGGGGAAGAAACTATGGCCAAGGCACTTGTTGCCTGCAAACTGTACAAGTCCATGGCCCATGAATCTTCGGAGAGTGAACTGGTGGACGACATCTCTCAGGATCTGGACAACAATTCAAAGTTAGTAGATGTGGAGCAGGGTATGTTTCTGCCTGATGCAGGGGGTTGCCTGACCTGTGGAAAGCCTTTTTTTTTTTTTTTTTTTTTTTTTTCCTTTCAGAAAAGTGCAATTACCAGTCTTTGGATTCCCAGAAAACTATTTGTAGCATGTGTGCCAACAGCAAACAAGACAAAATTGTATTTCAGAGTCTGAATGTAACACCAGCTAGGAGAAGACTTGTACTTTTATGATAGTACCCATTTGTTCTTCAGCATCTTTCACTGTACAGCTAGCTAGTATTGCTTCACGAAGTTATTTCCAGGATATACTTATGTAAACAAACATGTACCTAATYGTGTGTCTTAACCAGCTCTAAGGTGTCATTGGTCTAAGCTGGTGCTGTCTGGTTTCTAAAAATTTGACAGTTTGACACGCTGTCCCAAATCAAGCTTGAGACTTTGTTCTGATCGTAGTGCATGCAGGCAGGAAGATGTGATCATGTGATCCGTGTTAAACAGAATTAAACCCCCAAATACAAGCAAATTCTGTGATTTTTTTTTTTAATCACACTTCAAGGGATTTATCTTGTATTTTCCAGAGATTTTGGCCAGCTGGCTGTTGAACTTCTGGATCAATCCTATAAACATGACGAGCAGGTTGCTATGAAATTACTGACCTATGAACTGAAAAACTGGAGTAATTCCACCTGCCTGAAACTGGCTGTGGCAGCTAAACACAGGGACTTCATAGCTCACACGTGCAGCCAGATGCTTTTAACAGACATGTGGATGGGGCGACTGCGCATGCGGAAAAACCCAGGGCTTAAGGTATTTCTTTTGTACAGTTGCTGTCAAAAGTACAGTTTGTTGAACATAACACTGAATCATGTATAGTGGGCTTACTAACTGTAAGTGTTCTAAGAGCATATCTGTTTTGCAGCTTTTTTGGTTGGTTGTTTTCTTTTCCCCTTTCTCAGGACATTTAAGGAGAGTTCCCYCATAGCAGAGAGAATGTCAAGACTGTAAGAGGCATAGTGTAATTAAAATCTGAGAACATAGTTGTGATTTTTGATGAAATCTGTTAATTGAAACCATGTACCTCTGATTAAAAAGTAGTCATATAGCGTTGTAGATGCCTACATTCCTGGGTCGTGTTCCCAAGCTGACATATGTACTGTCCCCTCTCCCATTCTCTTTTTTTTTTCTACCTTCCCACATCTCCCCCATTGAAGCCAGTTCTTCGGGCAAGTCTGCTACCTCTTTGTTTGCACCATGGCGATTTCTATATCAGTTTATTGTTTTCTTTTCTCTGAAATGTTCAGCTGATGACATATATCTTTGTTTCATCCCATCCATTCTTCTCCTCTTAACCCTTTTCTGTGCTTCATCAATTCATATCTGTGTTTCTGTAACTCTGCGATTTCATTCAGTAAGAATGAGTGCTAACCAGTGCTATCTTCAAAGCTTAGAAAAAAACAATTATAGTAGTTGACTAATGTAACTCTAAACTCCAGAAAGTATTTGGGCCCTTCCTTCCAGTGCCACCATCATTCTCAATCTGGAGTGCAGTTTCTTTCTTGCCGTGTATTCACGGAAGCAGCAAACTTGCCAGAGTGCCATCTTGCCATGCAGCATCTTATTGGTGGTGCTTCATAAACACTATGTATTTATTGTTTTCTAATTTTAGAGATAGCAGAGTATCCTGAATGTTATGCGAGAGAAAGCATTTTTAGGAAGTATGTCTTGTTAAAAAATGATTTTTATAAACAAGTTCTGAAGTCTAAGTTGAATTCTTTTCTATTGTGCAGGTTATAATGGGGATCCTCTTCCCTCCCACCATACTTTTTCTAGAGTTTCGCAGCTATGATGATTACTCTTATCAGTCTTCGAGAGAAAATGAAGAGGGAAAAGAAAAGGAGGAGGAAAATGTGGTAAGTACTGGAGTTTATCAGGAACTTCTGACTCCTCAAACTCAATTTGGGGATTTCTAGACCACTCTAATTAAAAACTTAACTATTTGGGTGGGATCAAAATCATTGAAAAGCTAGGGAGTGTCATAGGCTGAATTTTCAGGGCATATAAATTACACTGCTTTATTCTAGTTCAGGATTTGTATTTTCAAAACTTTTTTTGAAAAACAATAGACCCGAGGGTTCTATTGTCAGTGGAGTGGGACTGTAGACGAGGAAAGGTACCATAGATAATGTTGATTGGTCAAAAAAATGACAATTTTTATCTTCCAGGATGCAAATGTGGATGCAGGCTCCAGGAAAGGAGATGAAGAGAATGGAAATAAAAAACAAAGAAGCCTTCCAATTGGAACAAAGATCTATGAGTTCTATAATGCACCCATTGTCAAATTCTGGTTCTACACAGTAAGTCATGGTGATTATACTGGTGGTGATTATTTTAATTACATCTGTGATGCTTAAGACTCCTAAATAAACATAATAACCAAGTAATAAATGGTAGTCACTTTAATGGGATCTTCTTGATGAGTAAAGTACTTGATACAGAGAGAGAAGCATGGACAGTAAAATACTGAGTAACTTGCTGATGTTCTCATTCTGTAGGGGTCCTACAGTCTTTGAAGGAGATCCTGTCTGGCTAAACTCAGTGCAAGCTCTACAATCCAGTCATCACAGCAGGACTGGATTCTCCTCCTTTCTGAAGTCTTTGACTCTCATTCTTCTTTGAAATATATTACTTAAAATATAATTTTGGAGTTCTACCTCAGGATTTCTAAGCTTCCTGCTTTTCTTCCAAGTTTTGAGCTTTACCAGTCACAGATGACTGCTGGCTTCCTGCTGGAAACCAACAGGGACTGATTCTTTCTGTGACAGTTATCTCAAGTAACTGAATACTGCCTAACTGCAAATGGATCCTAGAATCTGACATCTGAAGTCCATAATAGATTTTATTTATTTATTTTTAGATATCATACCTGGGTTATTTGATGCTGTTTAATTATATGATCTTGGTGCCAATGGAACAGTGTCCATCAGTCCAGGAATGGATTGTCATCTCCTACATTGTGACTTTGGCTTTAGAGAAAGTAAGAGAGGTAAMGTCTGATCATACTAAGATAATTCTTGGAACTTCCTTGAAGGTAATAGTGACATGGACTTAGCCAAGAGGCAATTGGCTATCTATAGATATTTGGGGATAGAGTCTCAAACTGTCCATCACTAGAGAGTTTCATCTRTAACCCATTCCTGTATCTTAGAACCTTCTCTTCAAAGGCAAAAGGTCAGGCAAAAATGCCCTGAGGATAGTAATCAGAGTGAGGTTGGTCATCTTCTTACGTGTATTTCCAAGGTAGGGCATGGCCATAGCTCAAAGGAAATCTCAGTAGTTACCAGATGTGTTGATTCCATTGTTCACTTTTGATGCAGCCTGCAGGCACCTTGGAGGAATTAGCCGGGAGCAGTATCTAACTTTTCTCTCAGTGCTTTTATATGGGGAAGACAGCATAAAAACATTCACCATATTTGCATGCTGCAGTTGGGTTTGCCCTTGGCCTAATTAAGGCTTAATTAGGCTGCTAACAAAGAAGCCTAATTAAGCCAAAGTAGAAACAGAGAGGAAAGAAAATGCTGCCTATTGGTGACAAAAAAAAAATTGCTGCATAAGACCAAACTAGTTTGATTTTTCTGTGGCAGGGTGTCCCAGATTGGTCTTGTCTCATAGCTGTTATTTCTAAAGTGTAACTTGGAACCGTTCTTAACTATTTCCTTGTTCACTTTTTATTTCAGATTCTGATGTCAGAACCTGGCAAACTGAGCCAAAAAGTGAAAGTCTGGCTGCAAGAATACTGGAATATTACCGACCTAGTGGCTATCTCAGTATTCATGATAGGAGCAATTCTTCGTCTACAGAAGCAGCCATACATGAGTTATGGAAGAGTGATTTACTGTGTAGATATAATTTTCTGGTACATAAGAGTACTAGATATCTTTGGTGTGAACAAGTATCTGGGACCTTACGTCATGATGATTGGAAAGATGGTTAGTACTCAAGTTTTTGTAAATTATATATATGTTAGAGACACATGGGAAACTAAAATATATTCTAATTAAAAAAAAAAAAAGGCTTTAAAACTGAGTAGGACTCCGAATAAATGCCATGATATAGGACTAAATTCTTGCCTTGCAAACTTCACACACAGATGTGCTACTCTTGCTAATGATCAAGGGCAATCTTGCTTGAATCAAGGGCAAAACTATTTGAAAATCATAGTAGCCAGTTCACCTTATCAGCCTTCTGCCCCTGAARCAATAGCAGACTGCCAAGACACTGGAATTATCCACAAAGCCATGAGTTATAGGGAGGAGGTGGTACAGTAATGTTTATGTCAGTTCCCTGCCTTCAGAATGGAGTCTGTGCTGTAGGCACAGTGGAGTGCACTTGAGTGCAGAAAATAATCTGTAAAGCAAAGTCTTAACATTTTAAATCTTTTTAAATATAAAATCTATTTTTTTAAAAAGACTGATTCTTGTCCATATATATATATATATATATATATATTTATATATATATACACACACACACACTCAATTCATGATCAGTAGTTATAGTCAAAGAATAATACCAGTAATATTTGTGGGCATGTGTTTATTCTCCGGGTACTTTCCTGTTTGCTTGAATGTATGTTTGCAAGTAGACATGCTGATACTACCGTTCTAGTTGATCATGACAAGAATTTCTGTCTGTGTGGTCCCTCTGTGCAGATGATTGACATGCTCTACTTTGTGGTAATTATGCTTGTGGTTCTGATGAGTTTTGGAGTAGCCCGCCAAGCTATTCTGCACCCAGATGAGAAGCCTTCTTGGAGACTAGCTCGCAACATCTTCTATATGCCCTACTGGATGATCTACGGAGAGGTGTTCGCAGACCAGATAGACCGTAAGAATAGAATTCATAGTAAGAGTCTGTTTCCTGTTTCTGAGGCAGATGATCAGATCTAAATTAATGTTTGTTTTGAATCTGAAAATAGTGTTATCTAGAGAGTTTTCTTTTGAGAGACTCTGGACACTAAACAATTTTCTGTTCCCCACTTGCGTGTCGTGTCTGTCAGGATGTTTTCAAATTCAGCTAACACTGAGTGTGATGTAGTCTAAAATACTCTTCCTATCAGAGAATATAACAGCATTGCTTATAAAATGTTCCATTTATTCACAGGGATCGGCAGAGATCATTCTGAAACTTTATTTTGAACAAATGTTTTACTAACAGCCAGTGCTAACAGAAGATAAAAACATATTCCATGTACAGGAGATGAAAATATACCTGTTCTTTCAACAACAATTCCCAGCAGAAGCAGTGAGCTAAAAATATTAATATATATTTTTACTCCTGTTTGTATTTCTGCCTACTTTCCAGAAATGGAGTTCCGTCCATCATGTRGATGATTTCCCAAATCTGTGGGGTGGGGGAGGAGGAAAAGAAAATTCTGCTTGATTATCTTTGAGACTGAAATAGGTTTTCTTATATAAAAGCTGGTCATCTTTTGTGTGTATCACCCAGTTTGCATTTTATCTGAAGCAATATAAACTGCTATACGCTATACAATAGTGTATACTACTGATACTATAGCAGCAATATATACGCTAGCTGCTTATATAGAAAAGCAGTAAGTGAAGGCAGAAGACCCTGTGAGGCCTAAGTTTGGTGAAAAAAGTTGTCATGATCATGAGAAGCTTTGTACCAAATATCAAAATGTAGGAAAACCTACTAAGAAAGAAGGAAATGTCATTAATCTGTTCCTAAAGCTACACTGTTACAGTGATCCTGTCATCTCCTTTTTCCTTAGAAATACTTGTCTCATAATGTCACTTAGAATATGTTAAATTACTTTTGACATGTAGAGTCACCTGATATTGTAGCTTCATTGCACAGGCAAGCCAGGCTAAGCTTAGGTTTTCTCTAGTGTTTAATTCTTATAAGAGCAGGAAACGACTGAAACGGGATATTCCTCATCCGTGGCTCTTACAGCACATCATGAATCCATTTGAACAAAGACTGTTTGTATTCTGATTTCTCTGTCAAACATAACTCGTGCCTTGCCAATAATATTGATCTCTTCATTGTAAGTGGTGTTCCAGACTGCTCTAGTTTTCAGTTATTTTTCACGAATACACAGTTCACCCTTCTGAATTAGAAATTTTTCCTCAGCAAGGTGAGAGAGTTTTGGTAATCCCCCCACCCCTCCCTACCACCCAGACTTTCAAAAAAATGTGGAGAGGGCTTTTCCAGTGACATCAGTCCAGTTCAGCTACTTGCAGTGCTAACTGCACCAGGACGTAAACATTCCTCTACCTTAAGCATAAGCTAGTATCTTAACTTATAAGCATAAAATGCCTGCACAAAGAGTTCTAATTAGACTGAGTTTCAATTATTCCATGAATGTCTTGTTTCTACAAGCCCACAAGCTGATTTCTAAGGCTCTTTTTGCTTTCAGTAACAAGTTTTCATTCTGATCTTTTCATGGTGCTCTGTAAATATACCACAAAAGCAATCTCGTTAGTCATCAGGGAGTGATCACCATGGGCAGGTTCTGCAACAGATGCTTGTGGGTATTTTTGCCAAGGCCCTTGAGTGTAAACAATTTATGGAAAAAGTATTAAATGATCCAGGATTTGTGGGAATCTTTCCATTGGCTTCACCTGGACAGGATTTTAYCTAAAGATAAAAGACCGCACATCGCAGAACTAGAAAGAACCTCTGGAGAGATGATCTAATCCAGTCTGGCCTAAGTGGACTAGATTAGAGCAGGTTGCCTAGGTCCTGCCAATGGGGTATGGATGGAGACTCCACAATCTTTCTTGATGACTGTTCCAGTGTGTGACCATCCTTGCAGTAGATGGGTCATTTTTCTTCTGTTTAAATGGAATTTCCTGTATTTCAATATGTTTTTGTTCCCTCTTGTCCTTTCACTGGATAGCACTGAAGAGAGTCTGGCTCCACTGCTTCACATCTTCCCTTCAGATGTTTATACACATGAATAAGATGCCCTGCCCCAAGCCTTCTCATCTCCAGGCTAAGCAGTTCTTCCTCTGTCAGCCTCTCCACATCAGTCTCCTACTCCAGTCCCTTCACCATCTCCGTGGCCTGTCACTGGGCTTGCTTCACCAAATCTCTGTACTGGGGAGCCCAGCCCTGAACTCAGCCTTCCAGCTGTGGCCTCCTTAAGGCTGAGCAGAGGAGAAGGGCCTCCTTCCTTACCCTTCTCCTAATGCAGCCCAACATAGTCTTCACTCTGGTTCACGCTAGTTTAGAAGCTGGTTCTGAGCAAGAAGTTAGTGGCTTTTAATGTCCAACAGCAATGTTACTATATAACAGAGAGTTGCAGAGGCTGAGTTTCTCTCAATAGTGGAGTTTATCCTACAATCACCATTTAGAGACTGGTAAGCTAGTGCTCCAACTGCTAGTCAAATGGCCTTTAATGATATTATAAACTCCAATAGTATCAGTGTTAAGGTAATATCATTATTAAGGGAAATGTAGGTATTCAGCTATTCAGACAACTGGTAGGCTGATTTGTGACAGCTTCACTAAAAATATATAGATGAATGTTTTATTAATAGCTGGGAGAGTTGCGATGATTGTGTCTGCTCAGTTGTGTTGCGTTTGTGGTGGCCGTCAGTTTTGTTTACTTGCCTGAAATACGTTGTATATTTAAATGATCATCTGCCAGCAGCGCTTGTGATTTATTTCTAATGTCATGAGTTTGCTGCCATATGTAACCTTTGGGGAAGACAAGATGAAAAGGAAATTGCAGATGCAGTGCAGTTCAAACAAAGAGCTTCTTTCTAAGCATATGTCTCTGCTGCGCTAACATTTGAGTTGCTTATCTTTTCTTGGCCGCAAGACTATATTTTCAATCATCTGTTTTCTTTTTTTTTCATATTATCCCATTGTTTTCTTTCTTTCTCTCCCTGCCTCCCCTTTTCTCCTTTCCTTTGGAATGCTGTTCAGTCTATGCCATGGAAATTAATCGTAAGTCTCTGTGGGGAGTTGGTAATCTCATTTAGCTGAATATATTCATTAATCTTTTTCATCACTGAATACTGACATTTTAATTATCGGGCTCATCCAATATTCAGGTATGACTGTTGTTTTCCTAATGAAATACTTTCATCTGAAGAGAAACAGAGGAGATTGGTTTGTTTTAATACAGATTGCAGATCAGAAGTTTCAGTTTGGCTTATGTGGTTGCTATGACTTGTTTCTAGTACCCTGCCACTAAAGTGATTCTCGTTAAAAAATATGCTGCATGAGTGTCATGATAAGAATAATTTCCTTTGATTACCTAGATATTATTTATGATATTACCTAGATATTATTTATGATAAATAGGAAAACCTAGGTGTAAAGTTAAAAAAAAAAAAAAAAAGACATTGTTAATCATTGTCTAAATATCCTTTTTCCTCTAGACTATGTAAGACTGATATGCTTTCAAATATTTTTTTGGGGGTGAGGTTGGAGGGATCTTTTAGAAACTAATAAAAAATACTGCTTTTTATCAAATCATATAAATTACATCCATAATAAACTTATTGCCAGATTTATTATAGGGATTTCAGATGAAAAAAGTTATTCATTTTTACCTGATATTTAGTGCTTCCAAAATTTAGCTTTGTATTTAAAATTGTTGTCAGCCCTGCACTTAAAACAACCTTTTTGTATTTATTTATCTTCAAGTCAACTATTAATCAAGGCAACCAGTACATTCTCAGAATTAGTTCAGGAAATTATTTAATATTGATTTAATCAGTGTTTTCAGTTTTTGTCTCATTCTCACCCATCTATTTTGGTGTCACCGTTGTGAGATGCTCAGGTGCATAGGCAGAGGGTGTGAATGAAGCCCCCCCGACCATGGTTTGGGCTATTATCTTTGGGCTAGAATTTACCAGTTGGTAAATTCTATATAMATCATTATTAATGACATATGTGGACAGCGTTCTTAATATGGGACAATTTGTGAAAAGTACCTTTTCTGTTTTCTCCTCAGCTCCGTGTGGGGACAACCTTTATGACGAGGATGGTAAACGCCTGCCCCCATGCATCCCGGGGGCCTGGCTCACTCCTGCTATTATGGCCTGTTACCTCTTGGTAGCAAACATCCTGCTGGTAAACCTGCTCATTGCTGTCTTCAAGTATGTCAATGATCATGCACTATCTTTACTTTCTTTACTTTACTACTTTACTTTACTGAGAACCCACCAGCTGATTTTTGCAAGGGTTTGCATTCTGAATCTAGTTATTCTGTGAACATGGCTGTCAAATATTTGTAATAGTTTACATGCTGGGAAAGAATGGAAGAAAGCTTGCTAGAGCTTTAACAGCAATTGCAGTGATGCATACAAGAGAATCTGGCTAGCTCTGATTGTCRTTAATTGAAGATAAGCAGCAAGGTTGTCCTGAAAATTAGGAAAACTAAATACATGAAACCTGCTACATATGTGATGGAAGCCTGTGTAACTACTAACAAACATTATTCAGTGCACAATGAAAATCTGAACATCACAACTAGGGGGCTTTCACTGCATCCTCTGCCCCTTTTGTGCTTTGCTTTTAATCTAGGAAAAGAAATCAGGACCCTCCAGGGTTCTTAGAGCTTCCAGAAAAGGAGCTTATATTGCCTTAAGAAAAGACATTGCCAAGATCCATGGCTAGGTGTATGGCTGGCCCAGCAATGGTCGCTGTACAGATTCTTAATAGTATTCCATGCATCCATATATAAAATTCCCCAGGGCAAAGCTTACATGTGTTTTCACCTACCTTTGTTCCTTCTGTCTACCGTTATTCTGCATGCTTTTCGTATTGTGACTTAGCAGTAAAAAAATAGAAATATCTACTTTCCAGGACACTACCTGAGTAGAGCACCAGGGAGCAGGTGATTTATTTTGTCCATAAGCACGCAGTGTTGGAGGGCTTCCTGGCATAAGGAACTGGCATCGTAACCAGAAAAATGCTTCATTTTGTGCCCAGAAATCTACAGCTAACAAAGCCCATCTTTCATGTGATATATGTAGCTTAAAAGGTCATGAATTTCAAAGTGTTCAAATGCTAGTCACACAATGAGGGGGAAAGAAGAACCCTACAATAGTATCTATTATTGGCCTGAAGAGACCAAGGAATCAGCAGTTTGGGAAGTAGGTCGTGCTGTTAACACCTGCCATCCCAGCGTTTTTGCAAGAGCCTGGGTTCTAGTTGGGGAATTTCCCTGCTATTCCTAGAGATACAGAGTGATGTCAGATTGTCTTGTTATCAGTGGTAAATAAACTATGCAAAAGAAACCAAAAAGGATGTGTGCTCAGCACTTTCTGGTTTTGAGGGTAAGCTTTAACTGGTTTGTAAATGTAAGTATTTTAAAGCAGAACAAGTTAGAAAAAAAGAAGTGGGGTAGAAAGTATAAAAGAGGAAGTGCCAGTATCACTAGGAACCCTTTAAAATAGTTTGAAAAGCTTTATCTCAGACAGAGAACATCAAGATTTGCTTTCTGTCAGTTGGTATTCTGTACCCAGGATTGTTGTTATTTCTGGACTGAATACTGTCCAGTTTTTCTTCCTTCATATCCTTTAAATTAGAAAGTAAAATCCCTTCTTAGCACGTCTYGTTTGGGTGTAGAACTGATAAGCTCATGGCTTCCAGGAACAGCTTACTTTAAGAGGCCCCTTTAAGAATGTCTACTGTGTTCTCGAGTCAGAAGTTTGAATGAATAAAGTTGGAATTTAGGACATTTTGTGAAAGCCTCAAGTCTTCTATGTAGGTCAAGCTGATTAACATATTAAAGGAAAACTATGTGAAGCTTTGGAGTTTAGTGTACAAAATACTTCTTGTGGATTTAATATTTTATTTAATACCGAACCCCAGCATGTTTTAGTAGAAATATTTACTTTATAACCGAGCTCCAAATTACTAGTTATGTGATTCATAAATTGTACAAGTTTCTTTCCACTACTGACTTCTAGCAGTCTTTATATAACAGAAGCAAATGGTCTAAGAGGAGAACTGTTGCAAGTGGGGACATGAGGGATGCAGAGCGCTACGTTCTGCTTTGGTTCCCAGGAAAAGAACAATAAAATCATGGGTTCAGGTTAGTCATTAGTGAGGTTAAAGTCTGCAAGTCTGCAAGTTCAGTGGCATCAACAAAGGGCTGACTTGAAAGTTGTGTGACCTCATGTTGCTWTTTTGCTTCCTTTTCATTGTGTACTCACTCTGTGACAGCTGAACTTAGGGGCCTAACAGAGACTGTGCCTGTGTTTCCTTTCAGCAACACCTTTTTTGAGGTAAAATCAATATCCAACCAGGTCTGGAAGTTCCAGCGGTACCAACTGATCATGACCTTCAACGACAGACCCGTCCTTCCCCCACCAATGATCATCTTCAGCCACCTCTACATAATTATCAAGCGGATCTGTTGTCACTGCAAGAAGCGTGAGGGAGACCAGGATGAGCGTGACAGGGGACTGAGTATGTGAGGAATCTTCTCTAAGTGGAGCTTTTCCCACCATATTACCATACAGCAGCTGCTTTTCTAGTGCTGAGCTACTAATTTTTTTTTCACTTTGACAGTCCATTATTTGCAGAAAACAGTAAGGGACAGTATTTATTATCAAACTAACAGCTATTGAGCTCCTTGGGCTCTGGAGAATATGGGATGCTGTACTGCTAGTGAATGCTTTCTTTAACAGACATTCTTAAATAAATTTYCCTACCAAAGCTGCCTCAACTAGTTTCAGATTTACCAAATTCTACTGAAAACCACACAGTGGCAAAGGCAAATAGGAAAATGAGAAGAAGCGAATCACAGCGTCAGTATCTCAGAGTACTATGACTCCTAGCTATGACTAGAGGTAGTCATAGCTTGCTTTTATTTCTCCGTATGCTAAATCTCTCATTTCAAAGGGGAGCTGCAAGGATTCTGCTACTTATATACTCCGTAATTGTTGATTATTCACTATATGCTTCCTTGAAAAATGCAGATGCTCACAAACAGTTACTCCTTTATTTCTACATTTCACAGGAAACTTACTTGTAAATAATCATTTTCTTGCAAAATGTGCTTCTGGTTAAGAAGAAAAAATAAATGAAAGGCTCCCTATAAAATAGGGATAAAATAAAATGTCCCAATAAAATTAGACAAATCCTAACAAAAGGTGAAACATTCCCAAGAGCTTGTATTTCTCTTGGATTTGTTTCAACACTATTATAAATTTTAAAGATCTTATCCAAAACTTTCCAGGAAACAATCTGTTATATTAGTTATCTGTTGCCTATAACCAACACTTTTCAGAACAGTATTTGAAATAAGAAACAATCAGACTGGCAGAGATTGGCCTGCACTTTATCCCTTAAGATCTATACATCTGGTTGTGGTCAACTTGTTCTAGGTATAGCACTCTACTATCAAGATGTGCAAAGAACATAGAGCAAATAGAATCCTCAGTGGATGGTCATAAAATCAGAGCCATTACTTTGTCTTCAGAACTGTAACCATCTCTGTCTAAGTGTTGATTTACAAAATAGTTTGTTCATTTAGTGCAGGAATAGAATCTTCAGACACATATTCAAAATAATATAATAAATAGGCTTTAAATTAACCAACAAGTTCAAGAAAGGGAAACTGATTTTTTTTTCTTTTCTTTTACACAGAATTATTTCTGAATGATGAAGAGCTAAAAAAACTGTATGAGTTTGAAGAGCAGTGTGTAGAAGAATATTTCCAGGAAAAAGAGGATGAGCAGCAATCATCTAATGATGAACGTATCAGAGTCACCTCTGAAAGGTACCCATTTAAAAAGAAAACTAAACACAAAAACACAAAATATCCACATTAAGACTGTAACAATATATTAGTTTTTGTGTCACTATTAAAACAAAAGTTGAGGTCAAGTACAAAAGACGTGCAGTCATGGAGACCATCACTCCAGTTCAGAAGCTAATCCTRGTCCTGGTTAGGTGTGTGTGCATGTGCAGCTCTCACAGGAGCAATCTTTTTGCTGCTGCTGCCGGTAGGTAACTAAGGCTGCTGATTTCTGATTTGGGTAGCTTTGCCTCAAACCCATTTTTGTTCACAGTAATTTCTCCTCCCTCAGCTATCTGAAGCTCACAGATCTGCTTTTTAGCTTTCTAAGCAAATTGCTAGTTATTGAGCTTCCAATATCTCATCAGACCATTATGAACAAATGAAAGAATGAATGAAATGAAGTAAATGAAAGAAGTCCTGAGCGTCACTCAGTTGTATGTATCGTTTGCACTACAGCCCGGCAGCAGGACCTTCTGAATTTGAATCCRTACTGCAGATCTTCGAAGCTTTGGACGAGACATTTAGCTTCTCTATATGAACTTTCCTATCTAAAACACAGAGGATGTTCATGTGTAAATTGTTAAGCTATTCTGAGGACTGAGTGGTGTTTGCTTACTGCTGTGTGAGCGCACAGGGAGAGTGGCAGCAGCGTTTCCTCACTCAGTCATTTAGCAGGACCTGTCCTGAAGACTCTCTCCATTCTGGTGGCAGCTCTAAATCAAAGGATGAGATCTTTCATCACTTCCTTTAAATTATTAAAAAAAAAAAAAAAAAAAACTCATGCTGAAAGTGATGCACAGTTTAAGTACTCTCTTGTTTCATTTTGCCAGACAGTATTTTATTGGTGAACCATGCCAAATAGAGCTCTCTTCCTTTTAATGTTTCTCATAAAGTAGCTCTATCAGTCATTTATGCACTGGAAGGAATTTTATATCTTTCTTGAAGGAAGGCACTGAACATCTTGCTGTATTTATAATGTGAAGTCTGAGAATAGAGAAGTAAATGAAATCTCCTCTCTGTACGTGAGTCATTTCTATTGATCTATTTATCCATGGCAATTTGTCAAAATCCTAGGTATTGTGACAGTGAATAAAGCAGGGATGGTAAGCCTCACTGATTCACTATGGTCCATGGCCACAAAGCAGATTTGCGTATTTCTCATGGCTTCTTGCTCCAGATGCTTCATCATCCTTTRTGTGTGAGAGCAAAAGGATGTTAATTTAATTTCCACGGTTGATTTACTAGAGGATGATCTCTAGTCACATCCTGGTGCCCAGCTTTTACGTGCATTCTTCCGGTACCTTTGCTTCCATTACGATATAAATGATAAAAGAAAATGGAAAGAAATATTTCTCATTGAACTTGACATTAATTTCACTGCCTTCAGCTCTGATAAGGAATTAAAAGGTATTTCAGGAGCTAAAGGAATTCCATAAACAGCAAGCACGTATTCTCTCACGCAGCAACAAAACCGGTTTTACAAGGTGCCTTGGTGCTATTTTAAGTCATTCTGTGAACATTTCTTTAGACAATATTCTTCATTTTAATTGATGCCTCACAGTATAAAAAATGACAAGTGAATGTGAAGTGCTTGGCACACTTGGAGAGAAATGTAATAATCAGTTTTCCCTAAGGGCTGCAACTCTTGTACACTGCTGAGCATGTAAATCTCCTCAAAATTCAATATGGTGAATTACACCTCTAATATGGTGGAAGGAAAGCATAGATTAAAAATGCACATGGTTTTGATGACAGGCGTGGAAAAAATTCATGACTCATAATGATGCATAGGACAGAATTTTGCCTTAAGAAGAAAATGKTAGCTGGGAGCTCATAACAGGTTATTGCACTGTTCCGCAGTGTCTGTTCAATGCTTCCTGTTTTCTGTCCAACAGAGTTGAAAATATGTCTATGAGGCTTGAAGAAGTGAATGAAAGAGAACATTTTATGAAAGCTTCCCTGCAGACAGTCGATCTTCGGCTCTCTCAGTTGGAAGAGCTGTCCGGTCGGATGGTTAATGCCCTTGAGAAGCTGGCGGGCATTGACAAGTCTGAGCTGACGTACACGCGCTCACGGGCTTCCTCTGAGTGTGATGCTGCGTATCTCCTAAGACAAAGCAGTGTCAACAGTTCTGATGGCTACAGCACATACAGATACCACGTCAGTGGTGATGAGTTAACATATGATGACAGTATCGCTCCTATGTCACCAGCCCTGGGATTGCGTAAAAAAGTCCTTTCTGCTGGTACAAAAGAAGAGGGAGCAGACCCAAAAATGCTCCTCCCAGAACATCAGACTGGTCTTCATTATGCATCCAGTGCTAATGCAGTCAATATAGCAGATTACAATAAATCTACACTAGAAATTGCACAGAATGTTTCCAGACCCCGGTCTAGTTCAGGTGGTTTTGGTGATGTAAAGCTGGGGATGTTCAAAAGTGATGAAATGGTTCATCAAAGGATAAACCAGATGGATGTTATGAACAGACAGTCAGTACCAAGATCAGAGTATCAGAACACTCAGTTAAAATTAGCACGGACTAAGTTAGAGGCAGCCATCTCTTATCCCTTGGACAAATCTAAAGCCATGCGCTATTATCCTCCAGAAACTTTCAGTGCTTGTCAAACCACTATGATGAAGTCAAGGAGCTTTATATTTGCACAGGGTGGAAAGCTGGTTGGAGGAGTTAACAACTGGGCCACGGAGTACAGTACCATCTTGGATCAAGTGTGCCCTGCTACAGTTGAACAGTGGGCTGCAGAGTGGAAATACGAAGTTGAGCAGCAGCTTTCCCAGGAACGTCCTCCAGAATACCCTGGGTTTAGCTCTGAAGCAGAAAGGCAAGCAGAGCAGAAGCAGTTACAGACGGACACAGATGATGACAGTGATGTTGGTGAAGCAGTTACTAATACTTCTAACACCTCTACGCCTGCCACGGTCAAAACTGAGACAGAGAACTTACTATCAGTAAAGCCAGAGAGGACTTACGAGTTCCCATCACTACGATCAAAAAGTTTGCACAGCCACTCTCGGAAAGCGAAGTCTATAAAGGACAAATTAAATAGACCAGGACATGCCAGCAGTGTATCTAACCTAGTGGTAGCCTGTGGCAGTGCAACAGAAGAGCAGAAASCAAGGCAAGCAAATCCATCCACTGAAACTGAATGTTAAAGTGGCTCTTGGCCCTTGTTTTATCAGCAGTTGGGAAAGCAGTGTGGCTAATTGGCCAAATTATTGAATGGAGTGTTAATGAATTTCTGCCAAAGAATTTGGCATGTATTTGTTTCCTCTCATTTTGGACATAAATGTTCTGTTCTTGAATAAATACTTGCTGGATCAGGTAAATGGTAATTGTCCTCTCAGGGACAGATATAAAAGCGGGCACAGACCTCGGCTATTAAGGGTATTGATCTTTTTTGGTCCCATTTCCAGTTCTCTCATAAGCTTATTTACTGGCAGGCTCTTCATAAAAGCTGATGAAAAGAAGACAATACTATCATGTAATAATTTAAAGAGTGTTTTCCCTTTTTTTCTTTTTATCAGGAGACTTCCAAAATTGAATATCTTTTCTTTTAGCCAGCCTTTGTTTCTGTCTATATGTAGGCAAGTGGTTTCTTCACGGGCATTATGTTTTTCAGATCAAAACAAAATGATTGGACACAAAGAAAAATTATGCAGTCCCTTCTTTCATTTCTGATTTCATGCATTCTTAGTCTTTTTCAGAAATGTACAGCATACCATTTTTCATCAAATAAAATAGGTCCAAGTGGAAAAAAAAATGATTGTGTTCGGAGGAACCTAGAAATCCACAGATGGACATTCTTGACCTGTCCTAGAACTTTGAACAACATGAAATAATCCTGCTTTCAGAATCATACCTCAGAGCATGCTGCTGGCCCTAAGTTGTTGAAAGACAGTGAACATAATTTCAAAACAATAAGGAGATGATAATAAGCAACAATAGGAATTGAAGATCTGCATTACTGATTGTATAAGCAGGGATTAGTGTGGAAGCCATATAGTGGAAGAGGCTGGCCTTTTTTCAAATACCTGCAAGARGGAAAGGAAAATAGAAAACATGAAAGGAGCTTCTGAGCATGTGTGATCAAGATAAAATGGGTTTGAACAAATCTATTGTGACAAATCATCTCCTCTTTGCAGATTCATTGGTGACACATTAGGAACAGGAGTCCCTAGGAGTCACACTAAACAAAGATTCACCAGCTAAAAAGAGAAATTTCATATACTTTTCATGATTTGTTGTTCACAGAATACTCTAAAGTTTGGGACTTATTCACGTACAGAAAATATATTGCAAACAATGGAATTTCTTCTTTACCCACTATCAGCTCCACAGTGTGGAGGTCTCATTATACCCAGTGATCATGGTGCTTTTACAGCATTTTGGAACAGAGTTGTTGTTGCAAGACACATTGAGAGCATCCTTTTTTTTAATTTGTATTATATTTTCATACTCTATCCATAACTGGACTTGAAAGTACTGTAACCACCATGCATAGTCAAGGTAACTGCATAGACGTTTTGGAAAGTTCAGTCTTCATTTACTATAGATGCATCTTTGTCAGCCTGTCTTACTAGCAGGCTTGCTGGCTTTGCTGTGTTTTTCAGAACAGCAGTGACATTTTGCTTTTCATGAGGGCTTCTTTTTTATTCAACTTTAGGGAACTTGGCATTTTGTAAAAACAGAGCGACATTTGTGATGCTTTCACTTCCATGTTTACTTCTGTGTTACCATTCTGTGCAACGACACAGCCGTTTTGTACGCGCGGTTAAAATTCGCTCCAATTTGCCAATGCCTTTTTATTGTCTGCCTGCACAGTCACCAGAAACTGATTTATCAGCAAAGACAAAGGGCTGCAAAGCTTTTCAGCACTCTGCTAGACAAGCAGTTTGCTTTGTGGGACGCAGTGTGGTGTGGTGCATGCCTCTTGTTTCATTGTCTTTACAGACTGTGCGTTAAATCATGCTTTGTTTGTCATTTGCTTTGTTTAGCATTTACTTTCCTGTGTTATCACATGYATTAGGATAGTATGGTGTTCTCAAGCAAAAACATTTTTACCGTTGTATTTATTTACTTTCTTTGTGTAAAGTATTTATAAAGGAAGCAATTGAGAAAAGACGTGAAATGAACTTGGTGTAACATATCTGGCACTATGAGGATATCAGAAACATTCATTTATCTCTTCTTATGCATTGCATAGGCTGGACATTTTTTAAGAGAAGTTTCTTTTATTTTTTAATGTTTGCCAGTAATTTTTCATGAGGTTCGCTGTACGGTCATGACTTTATAAGGCCTGGATGATTACTGTGCTCTTACATAGCATGAACTGAAATGATAACTTTTATGCCATTAAATACGAAACAAYGACACTGACTTCAGTTTTTTTCAGCTATGTGGTCATTTTAATGAGACTTACGAATGGCTCTGTATGTGCATACAAGACGGAGACTGGATTCAGTGCACATTAAATGAAGAATGATGGAAATTTTTACATGCCTACTTTCATACTTTCTTGAGTACTGGGTAAAAAGATGTAAAGAGAGAATTTGTATTTCTTATGAGGAAAGACTAAGTGAGCTGGACCTGTTTACCCTGGAGAGAAGCCTGAGAGGGGATCTGATCAACATGTACAAATACCTGAGGGGAGAATGTAAAGAGGAAAGGGTCAAACTCTTCTCGGTGGTGGCTAGTGACAGGAGGAGTAATAGGTATAAAATGAAACACAGTAAGTTCCATTTCCATGTGAGRAAGAACTTGTTGACAGTGAGGGTGCCAGAGCTCTGAAACTGGCTTCCCAGGGAGGTYGTGGAGTCTCCTTCTCTGGAGATCTTCCAAGCCCGCCTGGATGCTGCCCTGTGCTCTGAGAGTCCCTGCCAGAGCAGGGGGCTTGGACTAGGTGATCTCTAGAGTTACCTTCCAACCTCAACCATTCTGTGGTTCTGTGATTTCAGGAAAGAGATGTTTAATGTTGATTCCTAGGATGTGTTGCTCCCACTAACAAGTGACGTGGTGACTCCACAGCACTGACACAGAGGAAGGATCTCACTACTTTTTATCATGTATTGCCCAGTACAGAACCAGAGCATGTACTCTAAGACTTTGTCTACACAGGGATGTTACAGTGAACTAAGTCAAGTTCATTTGCCTCACGTTATATTGTTGTAGCCATTTCCTACGAGCTGATTCCTCCAATTATTGTCCCATATTGCATTACATCCCATGGCTGTGGGACTAACTTCACTTTGCTTTTGCAAGCCCTCTGCTTTTGCGTGGTTGTCCTCCATTTTAGGTACTGGATTTAGATACCTGAGAACCAAGATCGTCCCTTTTCTGTATTATTTAGTAATTAACTCACATAGTCATTGAATCCTTCTAGATTATTGTCTCTCTGTGTTTCTAATAACTCCACATTGGCCCTTTCCTGGTTTGGGGCTTGACTGTTGTCTTTGGTGAGAGGCTTGTCTATCGTTTTCAGTAGCAATTAGACCAACACAGGTATCTGCAAGACATTATCAGAAAGCAGGATGGTGAGGAGGGGGCATGACCCATGATACCAACAGGATGGTTTCCCCATGATCTGCAAGATGAAGAGTTGTTGCTTTTAATGGGTGTCCCCACCGTGTTCTGGCCAGGTGCCCACTTGGCACAGATGACGCTGCTGCTGAGCTCTGAGGAGAGGTGGTTAGATTGTGAGCTTAGGTGAACTTAGACGGTGACAGCAGCACTTGGGCACCTTGCTGGAGTGCCATCTGGTGACACCGTTGCCAGTACATSCCTTCTGCACTGCTGCTCTCTTCCACTGCCACTTCCAGGTGAACTAGTGTGACTTTCAAAGGCTTATTACAAGCAGAAAGACACATCTTATATATAAAGTCAATAATCTGTTATTAGAAAAAAATGAAAACTTAACAGTCTAATGGAAAATTTTGTCTCAGTCTAATTATTGCAGAAGAGAAGAAGAAAGAGAACATGACACTGTTACTACTGCAGAAAAAAAAAATCTCAATAATGCTGCTAATAGGAGTAAAATTGATGTGTACACTTCCTACCACCTACTCGTTTCTCTGGTGTGATAGCGAAATACAGCAGGTTGTCAGCATCCCAAGTCCTTCACCTTGGAGATGGCCATGGTGATGGYTTCTTCCTTCCTCATCTGTTCCTCCACTGGTCTGCAAGTCCATGTTACAATGTCCCGATGTAACCCAGCCAATTTCAACATCATTSAATCCCTGCGCTGAGCATATCCTCCTGCCCACATAAAGATGTGCCATAAAAAGGATATATTTTTAAAGATACTTAAAGCTAAATTCACAGTTTTTAGATAGTATAGTTTTAGATAGACATAGTTTTTAGTTGTTTTGTATCTTAGGCCAAGAATGTCAAAGTAGCTGTATGTAAATAACCACTTTTTTTATATTCTTCTGCTGGATATGCATTAAAGAGATCCAGTGAAGAGAGATTTTCTTCCATTTGCTTAATAAATTTAAATTAATGCCTAATATTTTTCTTCTGCTACAGGTATTAGAGACCGGTAGGGCTCACTTCCTTGCCAGTCCCCAGCAGGAGCGTCCCACACTTCTGAGTGCAGACTTTGGTGACTTGGGTGCACAAACTGTTGAGCGCACAAGCAGGGAGATGGCCAGGTGAAGTAACAGCATGTATTACCTTCAATGAGAAATAGGAGTTCTTAGCAGTGAATCTATGGCTTTGAGAATTGCYACATACTTGCTGTAGCTCTGAGCACGTAGCTCAGCAATGAAATCAGACAATATGTATGTCTCTGTTGTGGAGTTCAACCCACTAACTGAACCATTTTTCTGAAAGCAGTGAAAAAACACAAGTTGCCATAGAAATATAGGGCTGGAAGAGATCATCTACACCAAGGCGAGCTCAGCTGTGTCGATAGCATCAGCAGCAGATGGTGGTCTAACCTGTTCCTGAACATGTCTAATGAAAGACATTCTCTGATCTGCTGAGAGATCAAAAGAGACCTTTTAGAAAAATCTGTTCTGCTTTAGCCCAACCCTGCTGCATTGCACAAGTCAAAGTACTTTCCCAACCACAGAGCTGTTTGGTTGGGTTGTAGCATGACTTTTAGGAAGATACTTAATTAAACATGCAATAAGTACAGCAATTTATTCCCCACAGCCATAGGCGAACCGATAATGATCTTCACCTTTAAGAACAATATATACTTTATGGGACAAGAGGACCYAGGAAACCTCAACCAGCAGTGAGGTGTGATAGCACCAGCAGAGCCAGCCATGCCCGTTCTGGCAGTGCTGTGGCATTACACATGAAACAAGTGCAAGGGTCCTGGGTCACCCAGCGCACAGACATCACTGAATAATATAATGGCCAAGCAATAAAAGTAACTACAGTGAGTCAAAAATGCCTTTTTGAAATTCACAGAACCAAAAACAGACATTCACGTTTGTTTTCACAAAACAAAGACGTTCTCAGAAACCTCTGGTTTTGCAGAGCTGTTTGAAGTGACCAAGCGAGGCAGGCAGGGGTGGCTGGAGGTGGCCGGCCAGCTGAGCGCACTGCCAAGGAGCAGGGAATTCTGGAGCCAGGGCCCTCCCTGCCTGCCCAGTTCTGCCTCTTATGCCAGCCTGCAGCCCCCACAACTCGTGGCAAAATTAACTTGTGCTTCCAAAATGTTTGCTTCTGTCAAAGTAGCTTGCTTCCCCCTCCGGAAGAAAACTCCTGCAATGGCAACCTGTGCCCAGGTCTGACGATAACCTACACAAACCTTGTGGTCTTGTGTTTACTTAGTTTTGATTTTATTTTGTTTGGGTTTTTTTTGAGAACAGCATTGCAATTTAAACATGCCTGTCCAGTCCCTTGTGGGCATTTGTACTATCACATGCTCAGGCCCTCCAGGCTCAGGCTGCACTTGCAGCCTCTGCTCAGAAGGCCACATGCTGATGCAGAAACACTCCTGTAGTTCTGCTGTAGTCTGAATTAGTTGCTTTTTAATTTTATATCTGCAATTTCAAGCATAGCTGATTTAGGCAGTTCCCCCTGCCCTTTTCGCCCCCTCTCGTTTTGGACTTTAATTTCCCTTGAACAATGTTCTGAATAAGAATTTAAAACCTTTCAGAGTGGAATAAGGATGTGAGCAGGCTCCTGCAGGATTTATCACTTATCAAACCTCTGAAGGATTTAGCTTGTGGAATGGGCATCAGCAGCTCTCCACAGGGTTTCCTAATAGCTTTAAGCGTATCCATACAAGCTTCCTTTTTCAGCACAGTGGCATAAGCCAAACAAGATGCTCTGCTGATACAGAGGGGGAGTCTCATCTAAGTCAGAGCATGCAGATTGCAGCCTGAAGTCTCCTCCGTTGAACACCCACCTTCTGCCTTCACCAGGAAATCACAAGGTCAGTCTGTAATGTAATACTACGTACTCATACTTAAGAATAAGGGGAAACTTTGATCCTGGTAGTGATGCTGTGAGCTGTACCCATCATGTCCATTTACCTGCCGTCTTCTCAACAGTTCTTCACTGTCTTTATGTCATGGTGCTGTTGCAGTACTGCTCTGTTCTACAGGGCCTTTGCTGTTGGTGTCGTGCATGGGAGCTGTTACAGAGAAATCCTGATATACCGACCCAAACCCTCCTTTTTAACAYAGTGAGGCTGCAGTGAGCAAACACTAACATTAATTTGGCTCTGTGCTTTTCTCGCTTCCTGCAGGGCGCATGTCGGGGCGCCAGCACACGCAGCCCAGCAGGCTTAGGTGCCTCCTTCCCTTGGCCCCAGAGCCCCCCAGCATGGGCCCTGCCCCTTCCCGAGCACCTGCCAGGCTCCCTCTCTGCACCCAGGCTTGCGGGCTGTTGCAGTCCAGGGGGTGGCACCTTGGTCCTGTTTACATCAGCATTTGCTCTAGGAGGTCTTTCTGCTGCCGGGGCTGAGCTCGCTGCAGTCAGCGATCGCACCAACACTTCTAAGGACTCGTGAGTTTGCCAGRTGCCACTGAAGAAATGTGAGCAGTCGGTTTCCTGCTTATCAGCAGAGACAGTGGTGTAAGGTTTTAGCAGGTGAGGTGGGTGACTGTGCTATTTCCGCAGTCTAGATAAACTGAAGTGAGTGATCCATACATACCTTGAGAGTTTAAAGGGTGAATACGACAAATTTCATGGCGGTTTTTTTGTTTGTTTGTTTTTTCCCACTGCTTCTTATTTTGTCATTCGATTGTGTCAGCCTGAAACTGGAACAGATGTAAGCAGTCGGTGGAGCTTTCTGCTCTGTGGTTGGACCTGGGCTGGTTGCGTAGTGCTGGCCCAGGGTGGAGCGATCGTGTCTGCTGTCCACAGTAACAGGGTGAGACCCAAAGCTCAGGATATGTCACGGTGTGGCCAAGGTGTCACACACACACACACACACACACACACACACACACACACACAACTATGTATGTACTCCAAACATAAGACTCCAGCTACCTTTTGCTTTTCTCAGAAAATACCATATACCAATACCAGTTATTTCATATCATGGTAAAAAAGTGCTCATTTTTGGTTAGCTAAATCCTCTTTTGACTACAATTAACTAGGAAGTGGTTTGTGGCAGGTTTTTGAAGTCTATTGAAGACTAACTTCCATTAGACTTCACARAAGGTAACATTTCTTGTGGGCCTAAAGAGTTGTAAAAGTTGCAAACGAGAAGACCCAACTTACCAAACTCAAAAGAAGATTTCTAGAAAGTGCAGTTAAAAGTTGCCTTCTCTGGTAGACACAGTCCTATCCAGTAGGTTTGGCTCAAGGAAAGCAAAGAAGCAGATGTTTCAATACAGCAGAAGCTGGGCAAGCACTTAGTCACATCATACACATCACAACTGCCTATTTCCGTRGGACTTCTAGGAATTCATACACTCTTACGTTCCCCAAAGGACGTCCTTAGTTGTTTCTTTTTGTGTGCAAAACTCTTCTGAATGTTTGTTGTTGTTTTAAACAATATACTAGCTTTTATGAAGATATTACATGGTCAAGATGTGCGCGGGTGAGCTCTGTGCCTGCTTTCTCCAGCCATTAGGTGYGACAGATGCCGATGAGGGGGGTGACGGGACCGCTGCCGTCCGGGGGTGTGGAGGACGCACCGTTCCCTCCCGCAGCTGTACCGTGACAAACGTGACATGGCAGGTACGCGGAGTGTGGCACTGGTATCCGGCTGGTGCTGGAGCAGGACCCGCATYGCTGACTGCCTCCCTGTGTCTGTGCGGAGCGCGGGCGAGGTGGGGTGAGCCCAGCCCCTCATGCCRTCCGCAGGGAGCACGGGCCGGGGAGCCGCTGCGGGAAGCCGCGCGTTCCCTGTGCTGCACGCCTCGCATTGTTGGGTCCAAGTGTAAATGTTTACCCTTTCATAACACGTGACCGTGACCTGGGCCGCTCCATTTATCATATGGCACGAATTCATCTTACATAACACAAGAGCTGTAAGAGAGCATAATATTTATTCTGCTTCAAATTCCTCGTTCTTGAACGTGCAGTATAAAAAAGCAACTTGGAAACTAAAGCATTTTACCTGGGGTGAGTGTAAACCGATTAACAAACGGGCACACCAGTCTGCCTATTTATTTATTTATTTATTTCCAGAGTTAAAAGGGACAAAACCTCCCGCTCGCGCTCCGGGGCCTCGCGGCCG